CCACATGTAGAAGACTGAAACAAAGACCCACACCTTTCACCTCTCACAAAAATCAACTCACGCTGGGTAACAGATTTGAAACTTAGTGTGAAACTATCAGAATCCTAGAGGAAAACGTTAGAAATACTCTTTTAGACATTGGCCTAGGCAAAGAATTTATGAACAAGACCCCGAAGGTGATCAAAGCAGCAACAAAGATAAATAAATGGGACCTGATCATATTAAAAAGCTTCTACACAGCCAAAGAAACCATCAAGAGAACAAACAGACAACCCACAGAATGGAGAAAACTTTGCAAGCTACACATCCGATAAAGGGCTGATAACCAGAATCTATTTAGAACTCAGGAAGATAAGCAAGAAAAAAATCAAACAACCCTATCAAAAAATGGGCAAAGGACATGAACAGAAATTTTTCAAAAGAAGATAGAATATTGACCAACAAACATATGAAAAAATGCTCAACATCTCTAATCATCAGGGAAATGCAAATCAAAACCACAATGAGATATCACTTAATTCCAGTGAGAATGGCTATCAGAAAGTCCCCAAACAATAAATGTTGGCGTGGATGCAGAGAGATAGGAACACTCCTACACTGCTGTTGGGACTGCAAACTAGTACAACCTCTGTGGAAAGCAATATGGAGATACCTTAAAGCGATACTAGTAAATCTACCATTTGATCCAGCAATTCCACTACTGGGCATCAACCCAAAAGATCAAAAGTCATTTTATGAAAAAGACACCTGCACTCGAATGTTTATAGCAGCACAATTCACAATTGCAAAGTTGTGGAAACAACCCAAGTGCCCATCAATTCATGAGTAGATTAATAAAATGTGGTATATGTATACCATTGGAATACTATTCAGCTTAAGAACAATGGTGATATAGCACCTCTTGTATTTTCTGGATAGAGCGGAACCCATTCTACTAAGTGAAGTATCTCTAGAATGGAAAAACAAGCACCACATGTACTCACCAGCAAATTGGTATTAACGGATCAATGCCTCAGTGGACATATAGGAATAACATTTATCAGGTGTCGGACAGATGGGAGGCTGGAGGAGGGGATGGGTGTATACAAACACAATGAGTGAGATGTGCAACGTTTACGGGATGGTCATGCTTGAAGCTCTGAGTCGAGGGGGGAGGAGGGGCATGGGCAATATACGTAACCTTAATACTTGTACCCCCATAATATGCTAAAATACAAAAAAAAAAGGTAAAAACGAAAACTGCTAAGACTATATTTTAAATGTTCTCACTACAAAAATAAGTATGTGAGGTGATGAATATGTTAAGTAGCTTGAGTTAATAATTGCATGATATATGCACGTGTCAAAACATCACGTTGGCCGGGCGTGGTGGCTCACGCCTATAATCCTAGCACTTTGGGAGGCCGAGGCGGGCGGATTGCTCAAGGTCAGGAGTTCGAAACCACCTGAGCGAGACCCGTCTCTACCAAAATAGAAAGAAATTAATTGACCAACTAAAAATATATATACAAAAAATTAGCCGGGCATGGTGGTGCATGCCTGTAGTCCCAGATACTCGGGAGGCTGAGGCAGGAGGATCGCTTGAGCCCAGGAGATTGAGGTTGCTGTGAGCGAGGCTGATGCCATGGCACTCACTCTAGCCTGGGCAACAAAGTGAGACTCTGTCTCAAAAAAAATAAAAAATAAAAATAAAAAAATAAATAAACAGGTTAAAACATCATGTTGTAAACCACAGATACAATTTTTACTTGTCTATTTTAAAAATTAATTTAAAAAATTTTTTAAGAGATGGAGTCTTGCTATGTTGCCCAAGGCTGGCCTCTACTTCATGAGCTCCTCCCTCCTCAACCTCCCAAGTAGCTGGGACTATAAGCATGTGCTACTGTACCTGGCTAATTAAAACATTTTAAAAATTACTCTAAGGCCGGGCGCGGTGGCTCACGCCTGTAATTCTAGCTCTCTGGGAGGCCGAGGCGGGCGGATTGCTCGAGGTCAGGATTCGAAACCAGCCTGAGCAAGAGCGAGACCCGTCTCTACTATAAATAGAAAGAAACTAATTGGCCAACTATATAATTAAAAAATTAGCCGGGCATGGTGGCGCATGCCTGTAGTCCCAGCTACTTGGGAGGCTGAGGCAGGAGGATTGCTTGAGCCAGGAGTTTGAGGTTGCTGTGAGCTAGGCTGACGCCACGGCACTCACTCTAGCCTGGGCAACAAAGTGAGACTCTGTCTCAAAAAAAAAAAAAAAAAAAAAAATTACTCTAAGAAGGAAGATTACCATTCAGTCCCACTACTGCCAAATCTGCAAGGAATGGTGAAATGGCCCCTCACTGAGAAATGTGTTTTACATACACATCTGTCACTCCAGCCTTATTTAATTTTAAGCAGGACTAAAGTCTTAGAAAAAAATCTACTCTATTTTCACCAAAGTTCAAAATACCCAAGTATTAACCAAGGTAGAGAAGAAAATAAGAAAGAATCTAAGTGCTTAACATGCCCTTCTCTAAAAGCAGTTTCCTAGGATACTATTCTATACCCTTTCTGACATGCAATTCTGCACACATATGCATTTGCAAAATATAAACTGTAATATGGATGGAGAGTTTCAATAAAGGTAAACAACATGCCTTAAAAGGAAATAATAATGTGGCTATCTAAAAGAAGGTTATCGCAGGCATAACCCCAAATGACCCATGACAGACTGCTTCATTAAGTACGTATTTTCCTAAGTAATAATTTTCTGAATGCTGCTCGGAGTATTTTGGTAGTAATCACAGGATATATTATACACAAAATGAGGCAGCCAAACTATGCTAAGTATAAACAATTTGTCTTAACATTTAAATGTTATGGTAATTAAGATAAAATTACTGATTTTATTTTACTACATACTTACCTACTCTTCTTCCTAAACCAGTAATGGGCTCTTCCTCAAGCAAAAATACTAAATTCAAAGTGTTTTACATATGAATTCATAGCCACAACAAGGAACATCATACAAAGGGGAAAATCACCAAGCCAAATGCAAATACATTGGCAAATAAAATTTCATTACATAATAATGGCTTGTCCTTTGGGAAAACGCTCAACAGTATTAATTTTTTCATTCAAAGATATCAACATCAATGTAAATCTGACCCTGAATTACCGTTAAGTCTTGCCACCATTCTACTCTTCTGAGCTGTCACATACACCGTTAAAACTATAAAATCCATAATTTTATTCTTCTACCCTGACAATACCCCCTTATCGAAGAAGAGAGTAAGCTAAGACTCCCATATAAATTCTGCAAAAAAAAACACTACTCCACACAACCATATCAAACTAGTTTTGATCCCTAGCCCTGAAAACCATGCAATATTTGTGATGTTTTGTTTTCCCAGGTTACCAATCTACTTCCAAGCAAAGCCCATCTTGTTAAGCAATTCTAGAGTAGGTATTGACTATGTGCTAGAAAGCAACCACCACAAAGTACTGGAGGTCTCTAAGCTAAGACAAACAGGTGGTTCTAGTATTGCAGTAAAAAGCTAACTACCTTATATTTGGTATGGGGCTGCATTCCCTTTCAGCCACTCCTGGTCATCCTATACAACTTTGTAAACAAAGACAATCATTAACCTCTGGGTAACAAGGTGCTTAAAAAGCTTATTTGAACTGGCTAATTCAAGTTTCAACTTTCTCAAGTCTTTAAGTCATGTAACTAAAAATACTTTCATTAAAATATCCCCCAGACTCCCCCCCTTTTTTTTTTTGAGACAGAGTCTCACTTTGTTGCCCAGGCTAGAGTGAGTGCGTGGCGTCAGCCTAGCTCACAGCAACTTCAAATTCCTGGGCTCAAGCAATCCTTCTGCCTCAGCCTCCCAAGTAGCTGGGACTACAGGCATGCACCACCATGCCCGGCTAATTTTTTCTATATATACTAGTTGGCCCATTAATTTCTTTCTATTTATAGTAGAGATGGGGTCTCACTCTTGCTCAGGCTGGTTTCGAACTCCTGACCCTTAAGCAATCCGCCCACATCCACCTCCCAGAGAGCTAGGATTATGGGCGTGAGCCACCACGCCCAGCCCAGACCCCATTTTTATCTTGAGAAAAATACTTTCCAACAGACAAATTTACAAGCATCTATGATGGATGGTTTTAATTTTACATTCTAGGAGTTTTAATGCTGATCAAATACATGCTCTAACAATGAGCAGTACCTACCTGAAAATACAGATAATCAAAGATATAGATGGAAACCCCCCTTCTTCTTTAGAGGCAGGCTCTCATGTTAGAGTAAGAACTCCCAGGTTACAAGCACCGATTCTAAACAGTGCAACTGAGAATCCTAAAAGAAATCAATGTGCGGTCTCTGCCTAGATTATGATGTTATTACTAGGTAAAAAGCAAAAGACTTGTACCCGATACAAAGTGAGAATGAAAGGCCAATTGAATTCAACAAAAAACAAACTTGCCAAAAGCTTCTCTTCACCACCAGTGTAAGGCTATTACAAAAATAATGATATTGATGGAAAATAATTTGTTCTAACTGCAACTATAACTCAGCAAATTCTAACCTTGGACCCAAGTAGTTCCCATCTGTGAATATGACATTCTACCTAGCACCATTCAGACAAGAGATCAGAGCACAAAGTTGTAGCATAGCTAGAATGGGACTCTTAAAACATAACTATAAAGACTTTAACTCAAAGAAAAAAATCAGAAAGACTGAAATTGGCCATGAAAGCTTTAAATAATGTATAATTTTTCAAGTTCCTCTAAGATATAAGCAGTCATAAGATGAGGAAAATACAAATTTTTTTAAAAATTCTTTTTCATAAAAATTATTGTTTCAGCAATCTGTATTTTTAGAATTTTGAAAAAATGCTATCATCATAAACTCAGGACAGATGACAGCTTTCTCTTCCACTTTCAGGCTTCAAACATCACCATTCAATAGCTTTTTTAAGAAATCCAATGATCAGGTATGTACCTACACTGCCTGTCCATGTAATTACCTTCATGTCGTAGCCATATGTCTCCCGAATGTCTTCATCAGAATCTGTTTCTTCATCATCATAGTCCATTGTTTGTCGAGGGGAAGATGATACACTACTCACCACCCGGTTAAAAGAGGACTGCTGGAAACTAGGTAAGTGTCCCTAAACAACAAATAATTACGAGATGAACAGAAAGACATACTAAGCAAACATGGATAATTAATATGTGCTTAAGATCACCAAAAATGCAATGAACTCACTAAGTGGCTAACAGAATTCTCGAACAGTTAGTAGAAATGAAATTATTTGATTATGATGCTAAGGTTCACCCAACATTTACAGATAATATTTCATTAGGTATATATCCAAAGAAAATGCTATGTGTGTAGCAGGAGGAAGATGTCATGGATGATATAACTCCTGGCAAGTTACTGTTATTTTCCTAGTCAATTGGTAAGAGAGATTTGATTTACTATTCACACACTGACAAATATTATTCCAAGAAAGAAAGAAAGAATGTAACTCCTAAACTTGCCTGTAAATCTGGATTAGCAGCTGCTTTTTGGAGTTCTGCACTGATGATCTTTTCAGTTTTTTCTCGAGCTGCCTGTTCCACCATACGCTGGCTCAACACAGACAGTTTGGCGAGGGCAGAGGATAGTTCATCTGTGGCTAGGGCCTGCCGTGCTCTATCTTGCCAACTCATAGCACGTTCTGTCAAACACTGTAGGGCCTCTCCTTCAGGTAACCGTACAGGCAACTTCTGAAGGGATACCAGGAGTGACAGAATAGTCTCTAGCCTGGGCCTTCGAGACCGCATACAAAGAGGGCAAAGGAATTTTACTTCTTTAGCCTGCCAGCTGGACCCTTTTTTCTGGGAACTTGATTTAGGAAGGGGAACACAGCTGTTATGGAACCAGTCTTTGCAGAGCTCACACTGTAGCATAAAACCACTGGCTGTCTTGCGGCAAATGCAAAATTTTACTTCTTCTATGCGGTCCACCATTGTCATCTTGGCAAGGTTGGCTGCCCTGAGGGAATGCATGGCTTCAATTTCTTTTTGCTCCCGTTCTTTGAAAACTGCCACCTGTATATAACAAACATTTAACAAAAGGAGTCAATGCAATACAGCCCCAAAATACCAAATCCTCAAGGCTGTGGGATCTTTCTCCAATTTCCAAAGATTTGTGGCACCCTAGTAGTTTTCATGCAAACATTCCTTATCTGTGAAATGGAAAAGTGCTATCTATATTTGATCATTTATATCAGTAGAGTACTTTGAACTCTTCTGTAGGGGGCAATAGCAAGATAATATGCTTTGAAATCAAGCAACTTGAGTACAAAGCCTGGCTCTTATACACAGACTAGTAATATGAGGCACAAGTTTTCTGAACCTTGTTTTTCTGAAAAATGAGGATACCACCAACCTTGTTTTGTTTTAAGAATTAAATAAGCTAACATATGAAAATGCCTAACCTGGTACCTGGCACAAGGTAAACAAGGTGAGTATTAGTTTCCCATTCTCTTGTAATTCATTCTTTGGGGGCAAGTTCTATACAAATAAATTTTTCTTTCTCTCTAGAAGGCCTCTCCAATTCCTGTGGAAGTACAATAAAAAAGCCTGATGATCAATTATAACAAATGTATTTTACAAAACTCATTTCAACAAAGTAAATAAAAGCAAACAAAATTTAATTATTGTAAATATTGCCAGGTACATTTTAACTATTGATAGCTTTGAAACAATTTTGAAATAATTTCCAATCCTACTTTTCTGGCTAGACTGACTTTTTACGCAGGATCTCTTCAGAGATCATTTTGATTGGCCTCAAAACAGGATCATTTGTAGCCAGAAAGAGCCATACCAAGTTACTTAGTGTATGTAATTTCCTACTATTATGTATAGCCCAAACTCATTTTTATTTTCTCTCTACTCCCTCAGGCTCCTAGTAATCTTAATACATTCCTCCTACTCTCCAAAAACGTATAATTCTCATCAACTACAAATATTTTATTGAGCACCCACTATACTGTTGAATGCTACTAAAAGAAGGGAAATATTTTTAAAAAGCAGCTGGTATCAGTAAGCTGATATAATTCCTTTGAAAAGCATAATAGTATTTTTTTTTTTTGGACACAGAGTCTCACTCTGTCACCCTGGCTGGAGTACAGTGGCATCATCATTGCTCGCTGCAACCTCCAATTCCTAGTCTCAAGTGATCCTCCTACTGCTCAACCTCCTAAGTAGCTGGGACTACAAGTATCGGGCTAGGACATTTGGCTAATTTTTCTATTTTTAGTACAGATGAGATCTTGGTCTTGCCTCAGGCTGGTCTCAAACTCTTGACCTGAAGCAATTCCTCCACCTTGGCCTCCCAGAGTGCTACAATTACAGGCGTAAGCCACCATACCCAGCCAAAAAATTGCAATAATATTGAGTCACAAAATGCTATTAAATACTAACCCAATAATTCTCCTAAGAGTCAAGTCTAGGAAAATAATTTAAAAGAAGGGAAAAGACTATACAAAGAAGTTCATTTTTGTTACTTATAACAGGGAACTCAATAACAGGCAAAATGCCCAACATCAGAAAATTATAGCAGGTCTTCAAATAGCATCGTTCTGTTCAACATAGTTTTGTTACAATGCTGATGAGGAAAAAAACTGATTAGTGACCAGGGCCCCTGTTACTCACTGATTTACCAAAAACTGAGTAAATATTTACTTTTTTTATTACTCTTTCTTAAATGTATGTACAATTCACATTTATTTCAATGTTTAATATTAGAAGTGTTTGGGGCCTTTATTTAGAAGTTTGGTGATATTTCTGTGACCAGAAACATGCCACAAGAACTTAACTCATTTAATCCAAACTCTTATTGATCAGTCTTGAAAACTAGTTTCATTATATGTCATTTCACTTGAAGTCATACTTTCCAAGAACCTATTAGGTGAAGATTTACTGTACCCAGCAAACTATGGATAACCTGATGGAATATTAGACAACTGTTTAAAAAAAAAAAACAGAGATATGGGAAAGAAAAACAATATTGGGAAAAGAGCAGAATAGTAAACTTCTTCTATACTTTGATTATAAATGTATTTAAAAATGTGAAATATGTATAGTATAAAGCCAAAGATTAAGTTTATGAAAATAAAAATAGTTAACAAAATAAAAACACTGAACCTGCTAATATATATCTTCATAGACTTCTGTATTCACCAAGCAAACTTAAAACACATTACATAATTTCTTACCACCATGGCAGTATCTCTGGTTTCTTCCAATCCTTCCTCCAGATCACTCAAAGGCTCAACGTCCAGATCCTTTTCTTTTTCTTTTTCTATTAGTTCTTTTACTTTTTTCCTTCTGCTTTTGCCACTCCCATATATACCAATGTCAGTCCGGGGACTTAGCACCTACAAAAATAAAAACAAAATATAAACTGTGGTTCTTAAAAAATCTTAAAAGCAAACATAAAGGAATGTCTATTAAATACTCACCAAGTCCCAGGTACTTTCTTAAGGACTTCATACATATTATTTATTTCAATCCTCACAACAACGCTATGTGGTAGGTATTTTTATGCACATTATTCAAACAAGGGAAACTGAGCCTCAGAAACGAAACAACTTGCCCAAGCACACAGGGTTAGCAATTAAGAAGCCAGTCCTCAAACCTGAAACTATCTTATTCCAAAGCTTCTATTCTTAACTACTATGTCCAACTGCTTAAGATTAAAATGATGATGAGTATATAAATTTGTGCTTCTGAAAAATAAGATCTTTCAGTGGCAGAGTACAGTAACAATAAAATCCAGGCTGCTTATTCTAGATACAGCACAGCACAAGATTAATTGAAAATAAGTCTACCTAAGGCTCCAGCTTTTAGGACAACATCTGGAATTACCTAACAGGAATCACTTGAATAAAGGTGACCAGATAAACTAAAGACAACCCTCACCAACACTACTACTGCCGCCGCCGCCGCCGCCACCACCACCACCACCACCTATAGGTGTTAAATTATCAACTGCTAAAGGGAGTGTTGAAGTTTGTGAAAATAAAGTACTCTTTACCTGTAACAACGTATGACTAGAATTCTTTTTAAGAAAGGTCCGCCCAGTCCGTTCTCTCCACGCTCGTGCTGCCGCTACCTGTGATTCCACCTGGGGCAGTGCATCAAGACGCACAGGAATAGGGCGTCCTTTAGCAGATAAACTCTCAAGCTGCTCCAAGTAAGCATAGTTGCTGCCACTCTAAAAGACAAACGTATATTCTCACACAATTTGAGTTCTCTTATGGAGTCTGGCGATACGTTGTTGAAAGACCTTATAAAGTTTAGTGTTAACTCTTCTATTAAACATTATTCTTTCAACCTAATTGTATCTTAAATTAATATAACTTCCAATGTCTTAGTTTTAAAAGCTGGTGTAAATTAATTTTTTAATGAACATGTTATCAAAGATTTTATATATTTTATTAATGAGAACCAGTAGATATAAAAACCAGTTCAAAGGACAATATGAAGAACAGCTATATATAAAAAAATGCAATTAAGTATGAGGAAATGAATTTGTTAATAAGTATTTAATACCAGATGGGACAATGGAATCATCTTTTCTACACTGTGGAAATCAACTGTACTATTACAGACAAATTTAATTGTCTATGGACATAATTCATTTGCATTACTTTTTAAAAAAAAAAAACAACTGACAGAGTTGTTAAATAAACTGGTCAAAGAAAATCTAAGGCACCCCCTCCCCCCAAATCAGATAATCCTGGAGGGTTCATGAGACAACACTAGTGAAAGGCCACCTAGTAGCCTTTTGCCCATTCAAAGTCTTTCACAATTTTCCCAACAACTAAAAGCAATATCTTAGTTTTGGTAACCACCTCCATTTTATATTATATAAACAGAGATATGAATATTTTCCTTCTAAATTCACATTGTTTCAATATTTCCATGTAATGAAGTCATTATTGTTTATAGAACTTCTATATTGCATTCCAATAAAAGATTATTTCCCAAGTATTAACTGACACACTTGCCTATAAACTTATTTTGAAAGATTTATTGAATCATGTGGAAAAATAAACAAGAAACCTATGAATTTTTAAGAGGAATAATGAAGTGGTTCTAGTCCTGTAAGAAATTAAAATGGCATAATCAAATCATTACGGTACTAAGATAAGAATAGCTAGCTTTATGGAATAGCAAAAAAAGCTCAGACCAAGAAATACCATATTTATTATTATTCCCTCTTGTGCCCAACTACAGCCATTTGGCTACTGAATGCCTGTTGGCTAACCCTAGACATAGCCTGCTCCCAAGCTATGTATCCTAAATAAAAGTCTGCCTACCAACAGAACCTGTCCACTTATTTGAAGCCTCCAAGTCAGTACTCCCATTGAAGGGAAGGGCCTGGTAGGAAAACAGTGCTTCAAAATTATAGAAGAAATACATGACAGCTACCTATACTTGTCAACTTAGTCCTTCAATCATAAACAGCCAGTTAAGGATTATCAGACATCTGAAGACAACCAACTCCTGCCTGCAACAGGCCAAAGATAAAACGGAAAAGCTGTCCTGATGAAAATAGAGATAATTCAACAAATCAGAAAAGAAATGGTGGCAGCTAAGCATGTCCCAGAAAAAGCCAACTGAAAAGAAGGTAAAAGAAAAGTCCTTAGAATTTGATACCTGGAATATGTTCTTTCTTGGGACAGCAGTTTAGTGAAAGAAAGTTGATTTTCTTTTTGAGTATAGCTCTACAATTTAGAGTATATACTCAACACATTTAATGTGCTTAACGGTTTTTATAATTCAAGAATTTTTCATCTCTATATAGCACTTATTTCATTCTTGTTTTAAATTACAGATGTATAACATATGCTTCTTCAACTAGAAAATATGCTATTTTGAAGGCCAGAGTCCTATCTTTACATTGTTCCTTTTATTAATTTTTTATTTTAATCATTATGGGTACATTAATAGTTGTGTATCTTCAGAAGGTACATGCAATGTTTTGATACAGGCATACAATGTGCACTAATCAAGGATAATTGTGGTATCGATCACCTCAGGCATTTAACATTTCTTTGTGTTAGGAACATTCCAATTTCACTCTTTTAGTTATTTTAAAGTATATCCTATGCTATCAAATATAGTTCATCTCATATAACTATATTTCTGTACCCATTAACCATCCCCACTTTATCCCCCTTCCTCGCTACCCTTCCCAACCTCTGGTAACCATCATTCTACTCTCTGTCAATTGTTTGTAATATTTAGCTTCCATATATGAGTAAGAACATGTGAGATTTATCTTTCTGTTTTCACCCTTCCCTTATACTCTGCTCCCAAATACCCAGAATAGTACCAAGACTACTGTGGTGCTCAGTAAATGTTAATTTCATTCTCCTTTTCTACCTCTTATTTTAAAAGTAATTCATGCATATGGAAAAAGATTCAAAGAATACAGCTGGCAATGAAATCCCTACTGCTAAGAGTTAAATAAATAAGCTAATTCTATCATCTTTCATAGCAAGAAGTCAATAAAAACAATATGTAAGCAAGTAATAACTATTTTGAATTATAAAATCAAATGAAACCATTTTAAAACTGAGTTTTAAATACCATAATTATTTTACAGAAGCTCTGACTCACCATGGGATTATGTCCCTGTAAACCCATCGTAATTGAAAATATCTTTAAATTGAAAATACGTTTAATACACCTAACCTACCAAACATCACAGCTTAGTCTAACCTACCTTAAACATGTTCAGAACACTTACATTAACGTGGCTGACTGAGAGCTGCAGGTCACTGCCACTGCCCAGCATCATGACAGAGTATCATACCACATATTGCTAGCCCGGAAAATATCAAAATTCAAAGCACAGTTTCTACTGAATGCGTATCACTTTCACTGTAAAGTCAAAAAATTATAAGTCGGGAGCCATCTGTATTATGATTATTCTATTCTAAAGAAACAAAGATTTAAAGGATTCATCTGTGAGACAGGCATTACCTGATGGGCAACATAACGCAAAAGCCTCCTTACCTGAATAGCTTCCACTTTAGTTGTCCATTCTCGAGCCTTTTGTAAGGCTTCTTTCAGGGACAACACATTGGGTAGAAAGGCTGGAATGTTCTTGGCTTCATTCACAATGCTTTCTAAACTTGCCATGTTGTGCCTCGGTCTAAACCAGGGTGAGATGCAAGAGAAAAAGTCTAATTGCCACCAACATTTAAGTAACATTTTAGAATGTGTAGAGAAATTTCATATACATGACTTCATTTAATTCCTACCACAATCCTGTAAGGGAAGCAAAGCAGCTAGTATCTTTCTTTCCATTTTATAGATAAGAAACTTTAAAAGGAAAATTATTTCCCCAAAAGTCACTTAATGTAATAAATATGTACACAAGGCCAGGCGCGGTGGCTCACGCCTGTAATCCTAGCACTCTGGGAGGCTGAGGCTGGAGGATCACTTGAGGTCAGGAGTTCGAGACCAGTCTGAGCAAGAGCGAGACCCTGTCTCTACTAAAAATAGAAAGAAATTAGCTGGACAACTAAAAATATATAGAAAAAATTAGCCGGGCATGGTGGCACATGCCTGTAGTCCCAGCTACTCGGGAGGCTGAGGCAGGAGGATTGCTTGAGCCCAGGAGTTTGAGGTTGCTGTGAGCAAGGCTGATGCCACGGCACTCTAGCCCCAGCAACAGAGCGAGACTCTGTCTCAAAAATAAATAAGTAAACAAATGTGTACACACCTGAATTCCTGATTCAGAATGAATCTCAGATCCCTGCCTCTTTCACTATACTAGATTGCTTCTACTTTACTTCTCTACAAGATCTGAAATTGTCCGAGATGCACATTTGATAGCAATGTAGAAAGCAATAGACTAGAAATCCATTAATGTTGCCAATGTACATTTAATTCAACTACATTCATTAATACTGGTTATACAAAGATGAATAAAACATAGGCCTTATCCTCAATCATAAGGATCTTATCCTAATCATAATACAAGATTAAGAATTACACGTATACTGAGAACTAAGAACAAATTACTACAGACTCACTACCATGAGAGGTATTGATTAATTTTGCCTAGAATTAAGAAGGCCTTTGAGTTAGGCCTTAAAGAAATACGATTTTGTCAAATGAAAGGTTAAAGAAAAGAAACCAGGAATATGATGAACAAAGGCATAGAGAAACATTTAAAAAGTTAGTTTGAGATGTGGGAGTGTTGCGGCGGTGGGTAGAGGATAGGGGTGGGAGGAATAAGAGCAAAGAAGGAAATAAGAGAATGTGGCAGGAAAGAAAGATACAAACAGATTAAGAGCCCTGAGAGCCATGACTTTCACTATTTGGGAAACTACTGAGGTAAAAGTTGTTTCATCATCCATGAATCCTCCTACCTGTTCTAGGTCCTAGAGATTGTTAATGAGCAAGAGTAACAGTCCTTGCCTCACGAAACTTTTTAACCTTGTGGGGAGGATCATTAATAAGGAGTTAGGATGCACTGTGATAAGTGTAATGATAAAGTGTAATGATAAAGGTGCTATAAGAATGCATAGTAAAAGAACCTAACTGACTTGGTAGGTGAAGAATATTTAGCAAAAGTGACATATAAGCATTCTCATCCTTCTTGAATAGGAGTTATGAATAGGAAAGCTGGGGCTAGGGGCAGGCTAGGGGTGGAGATACACCACAGGCAGACAGAACAGTGCGCCACACAATAAAACAAACATGCACAAAGGTCTAGAGAAAGAAAGAACAGGAATGTTTGAGGAAATTTGGGAGGGAGGAGGGGAATCACATGGTGGAACAGAATACAGAAGAAAGAATGGCAAGAGATAAGATCAGATACATAATTAAACAAGAGACTAAAATGATAAGTGGCTTTATAAATCAAGTTGGGGAGTTTGGACTTCATCCTGAGGGCAATGGGAAACTTGAGAAGCGCTATAAGCAAGGGAGTGAAACAGTCACACCAGTAGTTTAAGAAAATACTAGCAGTAATGTGGAGAATGGATGAGAGAAGCGTGAGACCACAGACAGAACCTATTGCTATGATCTAGGCTAGCTATAATAGCAACTTGAGGGGAATGAAAGGAAAAGAATGAACAATCCTACAAGCAGCCCAAGCAAAAAGATTCTTTTCAAAACAGCAGACAGAATGACATATTCAAAGTACTAAAACAAAGTAACTGTCAATCTAGAAATTTATACCTAATGAAAAAAGTCCTTCAAAAATGGAGGTAAAATAAATCCATTTGCAGACACATTTTTTTAAAATGAATAAAAATGAGAAACATTGAGGAAATATAATCAGCATGACTGAGGTTGAGGTTAAGGAAACAGATGGAGGGGTCAAAGTTAACTACCAAAATATCTGCTTCTTCAAGTGAATGAAAGATGGTATAATTCAAAGAATAAAGAAAAAAAGACGGGAGTATAGGAAGGAGTTAATAAGTCCGATTTGGGATATAGGGAATTTGAAGTAACTGTGAGCATACCTATTACAGAAATGTATATTATGGATGAGAATTTAGGAGTTATTCAGTAAAAGATGGTAAATAGAGGCAATAAATTAGATGGAATTTCCTGTACAGAGTGAGAAGAGAAAGGGTAGAGGCCAGAATCTTGAGGAAAGCCAAAGAGGCAGAGGAGGCAAAGGCAAGGAAGGAGGACATCAAGAAAAGAAGGGAAAGTAGTTAATAACCAATACTAAGAGATCAAGAATACTAAGATATGTTTCAGAAAGATAATTCTGAGAGGAGTTACAAAAGGGAAGTTCTAACTCCCACTATTCCCACCAACCACATTACCCTCTATTTCTTCACCAATTTTATTTTCTTCATGACACTAAGTATTTTAAATTCATTCATTCATTCATCTCTCTCCTGACTAGAATAGTAGTAATATTAATAGTAGTATTAATAGTATTAATATTAATAGTAGCATTAATAGTAATAGTAGCTCTATGAGAGCAGGGACCCTGTGGCCTTGTTCACTACTGTCTCCATAGCACTTTAGAAATAGTGCCTGGCATGCAGCAGGTACTCCATAAATACTGTAATATCAAACTGTAAGTATAAAGGGAAAATATAAGAGGACTATAACTTGGTCAGTGACAATCACATTTTGGAGACAAAATCATCAGAACTTTGTTACTGATTAAATGTAGGAGATTGGGCCAGGCATGGTGGCTCACACCTATAATCCTAGCACTTTGGGAGGCCAAGAGGGGAGAATCGTTTGAGGCAGGGAGTTCGAGACCAGTCTGAGCAAGAGCAAGACCCCATTTCTACAAAAAAATAGAAAAAATTAGCCAGGCGTACTGGTGCATATTTGTAGTGCCAGCTATTAGGAAGGCTGGGGCAGGAAGATTGTTTGGGCCCAGGAGTTTGTGGTTGCAGTGTGCTATGATGACACCACTGCACTCTAGCCCGGGAGACAGCAAGACCCTATCTCAAAAAAAAGTAGGAGATTAAGAAAAGGAAGTTTTCAAATATTACTACCAATAAAATTTTATCTAGTAGACTACTATCAGTTTCATTAGGTATAACAAATAGTAGTTTTATATTCCAAAGTCATTTAGCTTTGCCCATTTAATATGCTCCCACCTCCTGGAACTGACATGAATCTGAAGACACAGAGAGTAATCTGAATACTTTGGATAAGAAAAGAAAAATTCTTTTCTTGAATAAATTTTGATATGTATTCTGCATGGCATCTAGGTAGCAAAATATCCAGTACACATAGAGGTTTCTACCTAAAGCTCTTCCTATCAAATGCACACAAAGTCACTGGCTGGCAAAGTAGTTATATGCATAGACTTTGAAATGAAGTGAAAGAGGCTTTAAATTTCAGCTATATTGCTTAGCAACTAAGTGATCTCTCCAAGCACCCCAGTTTCCTCATCCTCACAATAGAAATTCTATGAATATTAATCTTAGCTGCTGGAGAAATGCTTTCACAAGGTATACCACAGTTAACTCAGCCAAATTAGCTGATATACACTCAAATATGAATATTTTACTTAAATCTCATTAAGTACATTGGGGTGCCAATTCTAATACAACTGTTTAACATTCTCATTCCTGATTCTTATCTCCCAATACTTTCCTGCATAAATCCTCCATTCCAGTAAAGTCCATTTATTTTCTGTCATCTGAACACACCCTACATATTCCTTAAATTTAGTTTATGATATTTCTCTTAGCTCCCTCTTTCCACTTCAATTCTATTCACTATTCAAGGTTCTACCTAAGCTCTTACTTTTCTTTCAAGCTTCTCTACTGACCATCCAAGCTCACCATGATCTCTCCTCCTCTAAATTCCTACAAAATGTTTCCATACCTCTCAGTTAACATTAATAATACACTCCAATGAACTTTATAATTCTTAGTTCCTAACTATAATATCATTAATCATAGGTTCTAAACAAAACACTACTTTGTTTTTAGGTATATCTAAGTATGCTAAGTTGAAAAAGAAAAAAAATAAGAAAAAAAAGAAAAGTAAAATTAAAAATAAAAAAACACACTACTTTGTATAACAAAGTACTCTGCACAATAGTTTGTACATATTTGAATCTGTCTCCATGCAGCCTCATTTGATAATTTAGTGATTGGTCCAGGAAGGCACAAAGCATTCAATTAAACATTTAATGCCATCACAATAAACCAGTTGGAGCCAGACATAAAAGAACCCATGCCCTGGCACTGTTACCCCATTTGCGGGTCCAGACACAATGTGGTGCTCTAAGGGCTGGGGTATGGCCCATGGGCATTCCTACTCAGCAAGTAACCCTCCAGCTTATCTGTACTCATTGCCACCCACAGGGACCTTTCCAGAAGCTGCTTGCCAAAGTAAGGAGGGAGGAGAATCTCTCCTTCCTCCAAGCCCTGGATCACTAGGAAATACCCTTCCTACCCACTCAACTTGACTACCGTGTTTCCCCAAAAATAAGACAGGGTCTTATATTTATTTTTCCTCAAGAAGACACCCTGGGGCTTATTTTCAGGGAATGTGTTATTTTCCTCTCAAAGCCTCAGCTTGCAGCATGCACGGGATGGCCGGGACCTGACAGGGAGAGCAGACCTTGTTGGTGGGCCTGCCCGCACCTTTCCAGTCACCTCTGGGATAGTAGCTGTCACGATGGGGCAGATGAGAAGGGCTGCTTGTCTTCTTTACCACTCTCGACAAAAAGCATGGGTTGTGCAGACATGCTGCATAGCCACGCCCATCACTAGGTCTTATTTTCGAGTAAGGCTTGTATTGCGCAAATGCTTAGAAATCCTGCTAGGGTTTATTTTATGGGTAGGTCTTATTTTTGGGGAAACACAGTACTAATGCTATTTGTCAAGAAGGGAACTCTTCAGACACATTAAAATCCTAAAGGAAAACCTTTTTTTTTTTTTTTTTTTTGAGACAGAGTCTCGCTTTCTTGCCTAGGCTAGAGTGAGTGCCGTGGCGTCAGCCTAGCTCACAGCAACCTCAAACTCCTGGGCTCAAGCGATCCTGCTGCCTCAGCCTCCCGAGTAGCTGGGACTACAGGCACGAGCCACCATGCCCGGCTGATTTTTATATTATATATATTAGTTGGCCAATTAATTTCTTTCTATTTTTATGGTAGAGACGGGGTCTCGCTCAGGCTGGTTTTGAACTCCTGACCTTGAGCAATCCGCCCGCCTCGGCCTCCCAGAGTGCTAGGATTACAGGCGTGAGCCACCGCGCCCGGCCAAGGAAAACCTTTTAATCAGATAGGTTCTCCTTCTCACTCTACCTTCTGACTTAGTTATTAAAGAGGCAACAGTCACCAAAAGATGTGTTCACCTTGCCTGTAGGCAGACCTTAGCCTTTTCTTCCCATCGTTCAGAGACTGTAAGGAGTTCCTGTAGTTCAGCCATTGCTTTCTCCACAGCATGGTGGGGAGCCAACCCTACCCCAGAGTCTATCAGTTTCTTCATGACATCCAAAGTGACTTGTTGTGGATCGGATAGGGTCAGTCTTACTTCATCCAACCACCGAGCCTGCTGTAGCTCTTGCTTCAGTCGGGGTAATTCAGGCAGCTCTACATAGAGACTAGAGCCCATGTCTATCAGCATCTGGAGTTTGGAAGAATCTGGGGTTTCATCCATCATGGCCCCCTGAGCACGTTCATGAAACTCTTCCACATCATCCAGCAGATTCTGAATAGATCAAAAAAATAAAAACAAACAGCAAATTAAAAGATATAAATGAGTATGTAATAGATATAGTTCAGGCGAACTATTGATTCTAGACCTTGTTATAATCTCACAATCACAGCACCAAGTATTCAGATACAACAGTTAAATTAATAAATATGCTTCTCTGTAATTACTTCTATCTATAGTCCTACTTTTAAAATATGATCAATTCACTCAATAAATATTTACTGACTGCTGACTTAGATGTGGGTGCTGTTCTAGAAACACAGAGTTGAATGAGACATAAAAAGTCTTCAAGGAACATACACTCTTAATATAGGTGGCCAGTGAATACATGAATAAAATGTTTCAGTTAGTGTTAAGTGCTCTAAAATAAAACAGAGCAATACAATAGAGAATGACCGGAGGGGAGAAAGGGGCATATTACACACAAATGGTGGTCACAGAAGACAGAAGAACTAAGCTAAAATTAGGAGGAAGTAGGGGTGGAAACATGACTATCTAGAGGAAGAACAGTTCAAGCTGGGCAAATAATAATTGCAAAAGCTTTTAAAGAAGAATGAGCTTGGTATATTGCTACAAGAGGATAAGGGAGCAATGTAGTTAAAGAATAAGCAGAGGTCAGATTACATAGCCTCTTGTAGATTATAATGAGTCTGGATTTCATCCTAATGGCTTTGGGAAATCACTGGAGAATTTTAACCACAGGGGAGTGATATGATTTGATTTATATTTCAGATGATCACTCTGGCTACCAAACAAAAAGTAAAATGTTGGGGACAAGAGTAGAAGAAGGAAAAGCAGCAGCTGAAAGGCTGTTGTGGTAATCCAATGGGTAGATTCCAGTAGCATAAAACATAGTTGAAGCAATGGAGATGATGATGAAATGGTTCGCTTTGGGGTGTATTTCTGAGACAACAGCAGCCAGCACTTGTTTAAAGATTGGACATAAGGTATAAGGGATATAAGAGAATCAAGGGTTTTGATTCATTGTAAGGCTTTTAAGATGCCTTTTAGTCTACCAAATGCAAATGTAGAGTACACAGCTGGATATAAAAGTCTGTAGAAAAGAAGAAAAGCAGTCACACCTGGAGATTTTGGAATCGACAGGACATAGGTGATATTTAATGTCACTGGACACCTAGCGTAAAGAAAGGGCTGAGACTCCTAATATACTCCAACACTCAGAAGTCAAGCCAAGGAGAAAACAAACTGTAAAGACAACTTAATTCTTCCCCAAATCCCCAAAGAACCTGAGGCTAAAAAAAAAAAAGACAATGATGACAACTTAACAGAAGGAATTGCCAATGAGCTAAGAACAAAACTGGAAAGTTACAGTGTCACAGATGTTTAGAGAATATCATTCAAAAAAGAAAGAATAATTTTGGAGTAACAAGAACAAAATTGGTAACAGATTTCACAAGTTGATAACCTTGATAAAAACTATGTTAGACACCGGACCCACTTCCAAAACATAAAAACACACTCCTACCAGGGGTAGGGAACCTGTGGCCTTGGAGCCACATGTGGTCTTCTGGATCCTTAAGTGCAGCCTTTTCACTCAATTCAAATTTTACAGAACAAATCCCTTTATTTAAAGTTTAGGTTTAGTCAAGAGGCTACACTTTGGGATCTGGAGGGTCACGTGTGGCCTTGAAACCACAGGTTTCCCACCCCTGCGGGTCCAAACTACTAAAAGATTACTATGTAGATTAATATATTATATACGTGATATATACTTTTGATATTTTACATATTCATTAAACCATCAAGGCCCTGGTAATTTCAGAGCTCTGCATTTTTAAAAGCTCATCATAACTCACTGATATATGCAGATTCTTTTAACTAATCTTTTGCATTTCAATTACATCTATGTTAAATGGGGGCTCTGGCCTAAAGTTAACATAGAAAAAAATCATTTTTAATAATTTTTTTATAGAGACAGGATCTCAACTCTGTCACACAGGCTGGAGTGCAGTGGCCCAATCATAGCTTGCCGTAACCTCAAATCCTGGGCTCAAAAAACTAGCCTTAGTTTAAGATCTTAAAAGGGAAATAAAGGCTAAGAACAAAACAAAGAGACTATCTACTGAAGGACTTTAAATAGCAGCATATGTGTGGGATAAGAAACAACAGAACAAAAAAACTAGTCCAGACATACCTTTCTGTTAACCTGAAACAGTAGCCCACATGACAAACGACATCACCCAAGAAAACAACATAATACTCCACCTTTACTTGACGAGCTTGGCTGATGACGCATGAAAGGCTAAAAAGTTGTTGGACAAAGGCCTTCAATTCTTCCACTGTCAGTTTGGTCCGAGTCCTTCCACTATCTGGACTCTGCCTGATATGAAATAATATTGAGATGTAAGTAAGAAAAATTCACAGTCATTCTGATATCAAAGAGACTCCTAGTCTCTTCAGAATTCGAACCTAAGCAATCCTAAAATCCTAGTGTTTGAGGGATTCCACTACAATGGCAATCACTTCAAAATAGTTTTTAAGTTCTTCAGTTAATGAATGACTCAAAGATTTAACTCTCCAAGTTACAGTCCTTCCAATCTACAAGTATTAAATATGTTAAACATTAAATAAATTTCTCATAGTGGAATATTAAGTTTATTGATAAACTAAATTCTGTATTTCAAGAAGCTTAAAATGTAAAACAAGGGCCATTACCCTGCCTTAGGAGACAATTAACCCTCCGAAACTATTTCAGTATTTTATGTACATATGCATTTTTCCAAGAGTGTCCCTAAGCTTTTACTAGGTTCTTGGGGGGTTGTCAATGAAAAATTAAGATCCACTGATCAATATCTCTGAGAAAGGCTACCAAAGAAATGGTTAAGAAAAATTTACAAATTAATTTAAAACCCATGAATTGCTATAGAAAAGGCCATTCATACAAAAGGAATGTATTAGAATGACTATGAAATAATATCACAGAAAGTTTAATACACATGGATTACATAAATCAAGGGTTCACATTTCTATGCTCCGTAACGACCACCTCTGCATCCATCGAGGGTACTCTTTGCTGCCACTTGCCTTCAGCCTGTAGTATCATTTATTTACAAATATTTGTTGCACACCTACTATGTGCCAAGTGTTGTTCCAAGCACAAGAAATATGGCAATGAATAAAAAGACAAAAATCCCTGACCTTCTAGTCTAGTGCACATTCTAGTGGGAGTAGGGAAGAAGGGAGGATACAGACAATAAATAAGTAAATTCATACGTCAGAAGGTGATAAGGCTAGGAGAAAAAGCAGGAAAGAAAGATAAGAAGGGTGCAGTTTTATAAAGGGTTGTCAGGAAAGGCCTCTCCAAGAAAGTAAAAAAAAATACTTGAAAGACACGAGAGAACAAGCCACCTGGATATGGTGGGAAGAGAACTCCAGGCAGAGTGAAGAGCAGGTTTAAAGGTCCCAAGCAGGAACACGCCTGGTATGTATGAACAACAACAACAGGAAGAGCACTGCAGGGTGGAGCAAGAAAGAAGGGAGAACAGCTGGAGATAAGGGAGAGAGAGGCATTGCCACAAGACTTCAAAGATAATAGAGGGCCTCACAGGCTACTTAAATTTTGGCTTTTACTCTGCAACAGGAAACCACTGGAGAATTAAGCTCTTCTTACGTTTACCTGTGTTTCTGCTTTTTGCTCAGAAGCAGCTGAGCCACAGAAGCACAGGTCTCAGCTTCTTTTACAGCATCCCTGAGTTTTCGAAAGAGATCATTCTCTGGGTATTTCCTATCCTCAGCATCCTCCAGCATTACTCGCAATTCAATCAAATCTGTAAAAATAAATACAAAAGCCATATACTATGACTACAGACACAAAAAGCCATTCTGAAATCTTTACCAACCTCACTCAGGTTGTATTTTCTATTAGTAGAAACATACTGCAGATGTGAAAATCTCTGATACAATAAAACCTCATGATGAGGCACAACATTCCTAATCCCTAAAGACAATTTTTCTCAGGTAAGGAAATTTCTCTTTCCAAAAAAGCCTCCAGTTACAGTCCACTGGTAACAATAGCTCCCCAAAATATTCATCTACTGAAAGTTAGATCTGCCCCATTTTATGTCAGCTTTTTCATTTAAAAGATTCTCAAATAAAAAAATCAAGTCTATATTCAACTAACCCATTAGTTTCATATGAGGCCTAGATTTTTCCTTAACGGAAAGGAAAAAACATAAACTAAACGAGGCTTCTTTTAAAGTGACAAAAATTTCAGTATATGCATACAAAAGAAATTTAACCTTTCTTGTGGTTGAAGTTAGCAGATAATGCTTCTGTAACACGACTGACCCAAGTGTCATAGGACTGTGCCCTGACTTTTACACCATATAGCAGAGACGGGAGGTCTTCTAATGGATAGCGATATCTACAAAAAAAAAAAAAAACAATAAAAACAAAAAACACTGGAAATAAAAACATCAATAAACCAACAACTTCAAAATAAGTTTTAAGTATAATCAGCTTAAGAAAAGCACAATGGCCAGGGGAATGGGATCTTAGTTTACATAAAGAGAAAAATCAAAGCAGCCTACAGTTTTAGTATAGGGAGAAAAGGAACACATGAAATCACCTGATAAAGAAACTGATTTCAGCTGCCAACTTAGGGCCAACTTTAAAGGACTGGTTCTTGAGCAGGGAAGTGGACAAAGAGAATTAGCAGTCCAGAGACAGGGAAGGGAATATCTAAGAACAACTTGGTTTTTAAAAAAGGTAATGGAAGTTTTACAAGATACTGTTGGATACCTAAGACATTTCTTCTGCATGGGGCAGGGGCACAGATCAGTTGGATGGTAGAGACATACAAGCCGCTCAGGATTACAGGAGCATGTGAGAGCAGAGAGAAAACAGGTGGTTCTGCATGCTGAACACTGTCGCTCATCATCAGGAACAAGTTCAAACACTTCTTCTTCTGACATCAGGACACCCTGAAATACAATTTATGTCACTAGATCAAGTTTTTCTAGTCTTTAAAGCATCAAAGGACTTAAGTTATCATATTCTTTTCTACAGGTATATCTCTGATTTAAGGCAATAAACATGGGAGGTACAAATAACACATCAAAATGCTTTCTAAAATTAATCAATACTAAATTTTTTAAAATGTGCTAGACTAAACTTTGGTATCTAAGGATACACATTTGTGTGATAAAACTATTAATATAAAGAAATGCAAGGAAGTGATTACTATAAAGTCAGGATAGCCTTTTGGGGGAGGGAGGAAAATTATAATTGGGAGGTGCTTTTGGGGTAGCTGACATAGTTCTATTCCTTGACCTAAATGGTGATGACAAGGTTTACCACATAATTCATGAAGGAAGCTACTATATGTTTGTTTTAAATGGTTTTGTCTTCTCTTTAAAACAATAAAAAGATGAAAACAATTACTATCCCCAGGGATAAAATACCCTTGAACCAGATAAATTAAATGAGTATCCTATGATCTAAAAATAACATTGATATGTACAAACATATGCAACGACAAAGTAGTATAAATAAATTAATGCAAATCAGAATATACCCTTCATTAAAAAAAAAAAAAAAAAAAAAAATTCCTAGCATGTTGCATCATTAAAAAAAAAAAAAAAAAGAATATACCCTTCAGCATGATATCAGAAAGAAAGTCAAGTCAAATTCAGTATGCCAGTTTTAGAAAGTAAGAGCATATGAAGTGCATTTTACCAAGACCTCTATTTATGACATATGGGTTCCCTTTACAGTTTCTGCTTACTTGACCGAGGTACATATAAATCTAATTCTGCTGTAAGAGCAAACTTTCTTCACTTTAACAAGGTAGGAACCTGATAATTTATTCACTGGCAGACACACTTCTTTCATTATACATTTTGTTCTTCATATCAGGTTAATCAAATGTCTGTTGTTTATATTCTCCTATCTTTCCAATTTCCCACATTAGCATTTTCTTTATAAATTATCTTTATGCAAAAACAGTCCCAAAATGCATTGCAAGTGTTTCTCTTTTTAAAAGAATTTACATGGCTTCAAAACAATTAGTAATGCTGTTGTGAAGGGGATGCTAATGTAGCAAATAACAAAGTTCTAGCTGCTTTAAGAAATTTTATACTATTTCCCAAAGTGTACCCAAGGACTGCTAATCCTAAAATATACTCTGGGAAAAAAATTATTTTTTGGAAAATGCTGTAGATCTATCCCTCTCACTTTAAAGATTAACAATGAACACCAGCATACTAAATGATCAAAGAAGTTCTGCAGAAAGGAACCACATTTATTTTTGCTTAACCTACCAATTCCTAAACTTTTCTAACCACAGAACAATTTTTCCTTTTAATGTCTTCTAACATATCATAAAGCTTATATTCCTAAGAATATACTTTGGTAAGTCATAAATTATCAGAAGGGAATGGAGAGAAGAGAAAAAGCAGACATACAAATTAAAAGGCTATTTGAAATAATCCAGGTGAGATAATTAAGGAATGGAACAGGATGATGTAGCAATAAGGAAAGGGGCCATGGGAGAGTGATGAAAGACTTTGCCAAAATAAATAAAAACAAACTTAAAACTAGATGATGGATCACTATGAAGGAAATGGATGAGTCAAGATCACACTAAGTTTTTACATAATGATCCTGGCACTTACTAAGATGGGCAATTAAGAAAGGAAAGTGCTTTGTGAAAGAGTAGAGGGGCAGGAGATGATATTTTATTCCAGCTGATGAAACTGAGATGACAAAAATCTAAACAGAAATGTGCAGGCCAGGCATAGTGGCTCATGCCTATAATCCCAGCACTTTGGGAGGGCAAGGTGGGAGGATCACTTGAGCCCAGGAGTTCGAGACCAGCCTTGACAACAAGGCAAGACCAGGAGTATGAGGTTGCAGTGAGCTTTGGTGATGCCACTATACTCCAACGTGAGGAACAGAGTGAGACCATGTCTCAATATAAAGCAACGGAGTGTGTCTAATTAAATTATATAACTCATGATTTCCCCTGTTCTTGGAATCAAAAATGGCACACACACAAAAAAGGAGTGTGAGTCATAAATACAACTTCCAGCAGGCAAATAATATAATCCACACAAACCTGTTGGCCCACAAAACTACAAGCACGCACATAAAAATAGGAGCAAAATATAACCAGTAAAATAAATAAATAAATAAATAATTTGTCTTCTCAAGGCTGCTATAAACAAACAAAAAAGAAAGAAATGCAATAAGCATATGGAAACAGACTACAGATGGGTGACTGGACATAGCTTCTTTCAAAATGATAATAATTCTCATGTTTGCATTTAATAAGAGGAAATATTAAGAGGTAAGAACTGAAACCACAAAGTAATAGCTGAAAGAGTTAAAATTCTAAGAATGGATGAGAATCCTTGAAAAGTAACACAAAAGGATAATAATAAAAGGTCAAAGGCTGAATCCTGCACACACTGGCAGCTGAGGAGATGAGGAAAAAGATAACTAGAAATGGGCAAATGTGATCAAAGAGGCTGAGGAAGCAAACAGTAGAGCAAATATCAGGGAAAGAAACCAAAGACGCAATACACAGTGCAATAAAGACACCATGGGGATGGAAGACAAAGAAAGAACCACTGAACTTGGCAATAAAGTTGTCACTAATAAACTGAGAGTTGAAAATGACAGTGATAATGAAGGGATAAAGAGGAAATGAGAGTACTGATCCCAGGAAAAACCATTTAAAAAGATTTTTTAGGAAAGATAAAATGAAAGCTGTTGTTAAGACAGCAAAACCAAGTGGTTAATGCAAAGAAAGGGCAGAGGTAAGAACCTGGAAACAAGGGCACAGGTAGAAGGTAAGTTAAAAGAAGAAGAGTCTACAGAAAAATTTGATCAAAATTTTTTTTATTAAAAAAAATTTTTTTTTATTAAAAAAAAAAAGCATGATAGAGTCTCAAGAGATGTGCTATTCAAATTATCATAGAAAAAGGAAAAATAATGCCCCAATGTGGGGTGGGGAACCTGCACCCTCAAGACCACATGTGGCCCTCCAGATCCTCAATTATGGCCCTTGATGGAATCCAAAATTCACAGAACAAGTCCCTTTATTAAAAGGATTTGTTCTGTAAAATGTGGATTCAGTCAAAAGGACACACTCAAGGATCCAGGTGGCCACATGTGGCCCCAAGGCCACAGGTTCCCCACCCCTTAATGTATTTAAATTTCAAAAATTCAAAAGACCAGGCAATGAGAAAAGGAATTCCATCTTAAGTAAACATGTAATCAAAACAAGACTTTTAAGAACACAGGCATAAAGTGGGAATATAAACTATCAGGACATATGTTCACATCTTCAAAAAGTAAAATAAAAAAATAAAAAAAGATTGACCTGCATCTTGTGTTTTCTTGTTTCTATCACAGAAACAATTAGAAATAGAAATCTGACCATTTAGTCAAATTTCTTATTTTTAAGCTAACCTAAATTCTTAAAAGTAACCAGCACTAAATATTTTGTAATAATAATAAAATTTCTAGCATGCATAGCTTTGTATTTTGGGTAATAGGTTTTTCCCCCCATTTACACCTATATAAGGAGTAGTGAAACTCGATCAGTTTTACTACTCAGATCCAAATTACAACTATAATATTTTTCCTTAGCCTAAATCTATACTCATTCTCTTAAGATACTTCAAATCCAACAATATATAAAGTCCATCATTTGAAATACTTACAAATACACATAAAAACATAAAACAAACTCCTTAATTTTGTGATTATACAAACTTACCTGCCTGAAAATGTTATTTTCAAGAAAACTATGATTTTAGTCAGAGAGAAACAGGCTTCTATTGCATTCTACCATTTGGGTCATGTCAACAATAAAGTGTCATTCCAACCTATCAATTGTTCTCGGCTACTAAGTTAAACCTGTATTCTCCTAAAGACGTGTATCTCAAACTAGTTTCCTCCTAAGTGAGCTTAAAAATGTGACATGTGCAAGAAAATAAAAATTTGATCCATACCTCACTGTATATGTAAAAATTAACTTGAAATAAGTTACATATCTAAATATAAGACCTAAAACTAGAAAACATCTAAGAAAACATAGGAGAAAATCTTTGTGACCTTGAGTTAGGCAAAGATTTCTTAGATATGACCAAAAAGTACAAACCATAAAAGAAAAACTGATAAATTGAACTTGATAAAAATTAAAAATGTCTGTTCCTCAAAAAGACACTGTTAAGAAAACGAAAAGACAAGCCACACACATTGGGAGAAAATACTTTCAAATCATGTATCTGATAAAGAATTTGTATCCAAGCTCTTTTAAAGTTTGCCTAGCAGGTTTTCCGGTTCTCACTGGATGACACTCCCCACAAAAAAACAAAAACCTAAAAAATGTTTTCTAAGAATTTGCATCAAGAATATATAAATTCAGACAACTGACTTGTTTGGCAAAAAATAAAAAAAAAATAAAAAAATAAAAAAAAGAATATATAAAGAACTCTGAAAATTTGATAAGACTACCAAATTTTAAAAAATGGAGCAAAAGATTTGAACAGACACTTTAAACGAAAGAAATACAGATAACAAGTATACCAGAAGATGCTTGGCATCATTACTCATTAGGAAAATGCAAACTAACCACAATGAAATACCACTCCCAACTTATTAAAATGTCTAAAGTTGGGAAGACTAACCATATCAAGCATTGGTGAGTATGTAGGGCAGCTGGAACTTTCGTATATACTGCTGGTGGAAATGTAAAATGGTACAACTACTTGAAATACAGTTTGGCAATTTTTTAGAAAAAAATAAACATACATGTAGTATATGATACAATCATTCTACTCCCAGTATTTACCCAAGAGAAATGGATCCACACAAAAAGTTGTACACAAATGTCCACAGCAGTTTAATTCCCAACAGCCAAAAAATGGAAACAAACCAAAGTCCTTCCACAAGTGAATGAATAAACAAATTGTGGTATATTCATACAACAAGAAACTATTCAGCAATAAAAAGGAATAAACTATTAATACATGCAACAACATGGATGGAACTCAAAGTAATTGTGCTGAAAGAAGCTAGACAAAAGGTATAAATTATCTGATGCAATATGAATAAAATTCTACCCTAAATAATTTTAAAGATTAGGTCGGGCACAGTGACTCAAGCCTGGAATCCTAGCACTCTGGGAGGCTGAGGCGGAGGATTGTTTTGAGCAGGATTTCAAAACCAGCCTGAGCAAGAGTGAGACCCCCGTCTCTACTAAAAATAGAAATAAAATTAGCTGGAAAACTAAAAACATATAGAAAAAAATTACCCAGGCATGGTGGCGCATGCCTGTAGTCCCAGCTACTCAGGAGGCTGAGGCAGGAGGATTGCTTGAGCCCAGGAGTTTGAGGTTGCTGTGAGCGAAGCTGACGCCACAACACTCTAGCCTGGGCAACAGAGTGAGGCTCTATCTCAAAAAATAAAAATAAATAAATAAATAAAAGATCAGTGGTTTCCTAGGAATTGGGGGGGGGGGAGGAGGCACAACGGGGCATGAGGAAACTTCTGGGGGTGATATATTATCTTGACTGTAGCCAAGGTCTCATAAGCATATACATAGTCAAAACTTATTAAATTGTACACTTTAAACACATGTAGTTTATTCTATGTCAATTATACCTCAACAAAGCTGTTTTAAAAATAGGGACAGAATATCAGGCAGAGAGAGGAAGGGACATGTACAAAAACAGGAGGGAGCATGATGCAAACCTCACGAGGCTATGTAGGGAAGATAAAGGGAATGGGCCAGGATAGGGCTAAAAACACAGATTTTCTCATGTATTTCCCAGTTCAACATGATAGATGTTTAGTTTACTCTAAGCATTCAAAATCCCAACCCTTGGTAATTCTATCTTTCCTGTCCATTAAATTACTTAAAAGGGAGAAAAAAAGGTTAATTCAAACTGACAGTCTGTAATCACCAAAAATGTAACTTTTATTCAAGACAAAGCTCAGAGAAAAAAGGATTTAAATTTTCTTGTTTAAACAAATAATACTATATGTAGATTTAAAGTATATCTAAGAAATTCTACCTGACAGGATTCCAGTTTTAAAAACCTAGAGATGACTTTAAGACTCCTAAAACTTTTTCAATCTGAAGAAACCAAAATGGCAATTTTGAAAGTATAAAACCACCTCCAAAGTAGAGATTTTTGTGTTCAACTCCTAAATGGACCAAGATGAAAATGGATTCTTTCTATATATTTAATTTTTAGTATATCCCATATGTAGCATCAAATATAGGAAATATGCTCAGCAAACTCACCATCTGTACCACAGACTCCCTTAATCGTGTTTCTTCTTCAGTCATGAGAGTCAATTCTTTGCAAACCATGGCAGCCAGCCCCACATCCAAGCATTCTGGATCTGCTGCCATCTTGAAAATGAGTTCCTCATGTGAAAAGACACAATGGCGCCTTAGCCGTCGGTAATGATTTACACACTGACGTCCAATGGGCAACTGAAAACATGAGATTTCCAAATTAAATTACTTGCTTGTAACATTTCATAATAGAACCATTATCTACCCTCCAGATCCTCCCTCTTATCATAAAGAAGACAGAATAATAAATCCCATTTGAATGTAAGAGGCAACTGTAAATATTAACCCTTTATGACCCAATCAGAATTTCACATTTCTTCCCACAGAAAATTTCCAATTTGTGAGGCTAAGCTTCTGGCCTAAACTGCTGATTTTTTTATTCATTATATCAAGAAGCAGGAGTTCCCTAGCACATACGTAAGGCAGCAAATTCCTTTAGATCAGTGGGGTTCTTTTTGTTTTTATATAGACAGGGTCTTGCTCTGTCACCCAGGATGGAGAGCAGTGGCATGAACACGGCTCACTTGTAGCCTTGAACTTCTGGGCTGAGGTGATCCTCCTGCCTCAGCATCCTGAGTAACTGGGACTACTGGCACATACCACCATGCCTAGCTAATTCTTTTTTTTTAAAAGAGACAGGATCTCACTATGTTGCTTAGGCTGGTCTCGAACTCCCGGCCTAAATAAAGCAATCCTCTCTCCTCCCAAAGTGCAGGGAGCTAAATTTTTTTATTTTTTATCTCACTATGTTGCCCAGGCTGGTTTCTAACTCCTGGCCTCAAGCCACCCTCCCACCTCAGGCACCCAAAGTGCTGAGATTACAGGCATAAGTCACAGCGCACCCAGCCTTACATCAACGTGAAGCTGCTCTTACAGAAAAAAGAAAATTATAAAAATAAATAAAAATTTTAAAAATTCAGGCCATAAAGATTTAAGTGGAAATACTCGACATTCAAATTTCCATAAAACAAAAAGAGCAGGTGTTATCTGAAGAAAAACAAGAAAGAAGAGAAAAACAAGGAAAAAATATTACTTAAGCAAGCCTCTCGCAAGAACCACAAGACAACTCAGATTTTAGCATCTGGAAATTCTTTTCAAAACAATGAGCCTGGCAGAAAAAGAATTTAAAGAAGTGAAATCCTGAAATTACATACTTTATTTTCTCTAACAATGAAATAAGTAAATGACTAAATAATCATTTTTCATAAAGCAACAGATACTGTCTTTAAGATAAATTCTGAATATTTCTATAACTATCAAGCTGTAAGCCAAATTATTACACACACACACACACACACATACATACTCACACACACACACATACACACACGCACTTCAATTTGAACTTGTTTCCTGTGATCAGGCAGAAAAACTTGGGTGACTAAAAGGAGTTTTGTTTGGATATGAAAAGTGTAATCTAAAAGAGAAAAACTTTTAAAATAGACCTTTAAGAACCTTTTAGAATTCACCTACATTTTGAGAAAGGCAGAAAGGAATTAGAGGAATCACAGAGAAAATGAGGCTATACCTGAATTAAACAGTGTTTCCATATTCTTCAAAGAAACAAATTTTCCCACAGAAACATATATATTGAATTTATTAGCAATAACTATCTATTAACAAACAACTCTTTCATATATTAATTCTTAAATATGTATTCCTTAAACATTTCTCACATAGCCTCAATAGAAAGAACGTAGAAGAAAAATCAAACTGTGAGATTTGCATTATTACAATATGTAAGGAAGTCACATAAAACTGATTATCTACTATGGCTTATAAAAATTAGTCCCATTACTTTATTCTAGAGATAAAGCTGCTATAACTTTGAATTTATATAACATTCTTCTTCTAAAGAATGACAAGGGCTTTCACATATATTATCTAACTTGTTCATGGTTAAGTGTTATTTATTAACATCTTTACATACCAGGTAAAAAACTTAGGCCTAGTGAAATTTAAAATGCTGTAATGGTCACGCATCAATATTAGTGCTTACACTAAAGGTAGAAACCATCTGTAATATGTATCTGAATCATCCTGTTTCCTATCCTACACCTAGCCAATTACCATGAAAATCATAAACTCAATAAATGTTACTTGAAATTTTAAAAACAGAGTTTAAACCCAAGACAAAACCCTAAGCTCAATCTTCTTACTAAAGTACACTGCTTCCAAAGGAGGAAGAAGTTTAAAATTACTGGATCAAGTAAGACTATTCATTCTATCATTTTATTTACTATTCAAGGAAACAAAAATCTTTGTATGTTTAACCACGGAATTTAATAAATTAAGATTCCCACAGTAAAACTTAAGATCCAATATTATAAAGGATTTCCCCCCCACAAATGTTGAAAGGGAACAAAAACAGCATCACCAAAAGAAAAATAGTCAGTGTGTATTATAAATATACTGTATAGTCTTTTCCCAACCAACATAACCATAACTAATTACTTTTTGATATCTACCTTACACAGAAGCAAAATAGCAATCACTCAGCATTATCACTTAAAGAAAAATATAGCGCAGAGATAAAATCAATATTACACTCTTTAAAAACTTTTTTAAAGCCGGGCGCGGTGGCTCACGCCTGTAATCCTAGCACTCTGGGAGGCTGAGGCGGGCGGATTGCTCGAGGTTGGGAGTTCGAAACCATCCTGAGCGAGACCCCGTCTCTACTAAAAATAGAAAGAAATTAATTGACCAACTAAAAATATATATATAAAAAAAAAAAAAAATTAGCCGGGCATGGTGGTGCATGCCTGTAGTCCCAGCTACTTGGGAGGCTGAGGCAGGAGGATCGCTTGAGCCCAGGAGTTTGAGGTTGCTGTGAGCTAGGCTGACGCCACGGCACTCACTCTAGCCGGGGCAACAAAAGTGAGACTCTGTCTCAAAAAAAAAAAAAAAAAAAAAAAACTTTTTTAAAAAGGAATATAGAAAAACATAAAGCAGCAGGAAGAATAAAGTCACCTAATTGTTTATAGAAGAAAAATAATAATTTTTTTTAAAAAATCATAGAGCTAGATATTTGAAGATGTGGCAGAATATTTGAAATTGTCTCTATAAACCCAATTATCTTTATAAGATCCAAAAATGCTCAGAGAAAGCAAAGAATAGAAGAACCATTATTCCCTCAGAAAAGGAAGATTCAGAAAGTATCAACTGACATTTAAAGTTCAAAAAGAGTAAGAAAATAATAAATGGATGGGATGAGAAGTAAAGAACTATAAAATCTTCCAAATAAAAAATGCAATGGAAACTCCACTTAACTTTCTAGACTACAACAGCCACTGCAGTATCCACTGAAATATTCATAAACCCTACCCTCAGCCCAGCTAAGTAATTATGGCAAGTAAGCTGCATTTTTATAGTAGTGTTGGTAGACATACTACAGCTACTCGCTATGGAACAGACCCAGTCAGCAGTACAAAAGTTGACAGCTTCAGCAAAGTTGTAGCCCTGGTTAAATCCAGAATGATAGGCACGAGGAAACGTCACAACAAACTCTCCAGCACACTGATTGGTCCTGTACACCTAAATGCAAATTGGGAACAGGGATACAAAAAAAAACAAACAAAATAAAAACAATAAAAACGGGGAGACAGATTTTATCAGATAGTTTCAGAAACATTTTCTAAACTTAATAACAATAAAATATTAACTTACACATATCAGAAGATAATACCAGGGTTTAAGAAGTAGCTAGAATAGAATCCTACCTTTTTAAAATAGTCACTGATAATAAATTATCATTCATGACAAGAATTACCAGCCAAAAGAAATTCTCAAAGAGAAAATATTACTCTATTAGTTTACTAACTTGGTAACATGTTTCCAGTTAAGAGAATTTTTTTTATTCCTGGGTTGTAAACAGTGGTAAAGAATAGAACTTCCTACTACCTTTGGGTAATTTTTTGGAAACCAACTAAACTTATTAGCTCACACATCATATGAGATGTCCCCAAAATCAGTTTTCCTGAATCACTTTGTTTTATGATGATACTTTGTTTGTATTCAAAAGTCCCAGACTTCAGTATAAATTCACTCTTTAAAGACAAAGTAACACCACAAATGCTAATCTACTTTTTCTTTAAGGTTATGATAAATATTTGATTACATGCAGCAAACATTAACTTTATACTTTATCAAATGTAGTAGCTTAAATTTGAGAATCATTTTAAAAACTAAATTGAGAAGTAGAAAAGGTATTTGTGGTATATTTTTACTTCATTATCTCATGTATTAAAAGCTGTGAAACATGGTATTTAATTTCTGATGACCAAAAAATAAAAAAATAAAAAAATAAAAGCTGTGAAATCTTTACATGAAAAAATAAGGGACAAGCATTAGTTACCACTTAAAATACCCATACTCTGGGCCAGGCGCAGTGGCTCACACCTGTAATCCTAGCACTCTGGGAGGCCGAGGCAGGTGCATTGCTCAAGGTCAGGAATTTGAAACCAGACTGAGCAAGAGCAAGACCCCATCTATACTAAAAATAGAAAGAAATTAATTGGCCAACTAAAAATATATAGAAAAAATTAGCCTGGCATGATGGTACATGCCTGTAGTCCCAGCTACTCAGGAGGTGAGGCAGAAGGATCACTTGAGCCCAGGAGTTTGAGGTTGCTGTGAGCTAGGCTGATGCCACAGCACTCTAGCCAGGGCAACAAAGTGAGACTCTGTCTCAAAAAAAGAAAACAAAAATACCTATACTTTGGTTAAATAGGGATAATAAAGAATATGATAATGGAACAAATGGAAGCTAAAAAAAAAAAAAGAATAAAGATGCAGAAAAATATAAAGAATAAAAAGACAAAATTATTTTAATTTTAATTGTTTTAAAAATTAAATAAAAATAAATATAAAAAATATGAGATTTTTATTTAAACCAGGATATGTTTACTGAAAACAGGTTATCTGAAGAGATAGCTATGAATACAGTATGATTCATACCTTAAAACACTACTACTTAATCAGATAAAAGTAACAAGACCTTTCTCTTCCAGTTACAAAGCATTTGTTATCATTCTATCTAATCAAAAACTAAAATCACTTTAAATTAAAATTACTGGAAGGAGACACAAAAAGACTCACAGGCACACCATGCTCCATTAGCACATTGGGGTTCATGATGGTGACTAACTGATGTAGAAGATCAGGCTGGGATTCAAATAACTCAGGGGCCAGCTCTCTCATCACCTCCTCCAGTTGTTCTGCGGCATGAGATGGCACACCATACCATGTCTTTGGCTCCCCCCTAGCAAAAGAAATCATTGTTTAACTAGGTAACACATAGTACCAATGAGGCCTGGGTCTCTGATTCAAACCTACTAAATTATAATTAACTTTGTCTTATCCTATGGGCACAGACTGTATGTCCTGAATCCTGACAAACATCTCATAAACCTGTGATATTGCTCACAACAGGAGGTAAGGCAAGAATATATGAATGGATAGATACATACTTATCACTACTATTAGAAAAGCAACTCAGAACACAGGAACTCTTTAAGGTGGATTGGTAATAGTATCTTGAAACAGGAAAGACATTATATGAAAGGTAAGCACTGTTCCAAAGGACACTGACACACTACTTTGATTCACAGGTACAACAGATACTCCAATTATCCCCACAATGATGGAAGTCAGTGAATACTCTCTAGAATATCTCTAAATAACTTCATTGAGTTCAATTTTACTATCCAAGGAAATATGCCAAGGCTAGAAATTATTAAAACTTCAAATACTGGGAGGCTGAGGCGGGAGGACTGCTCGAGGTCAGGAGTTTGAAACCAGCCTGAGCAAGAGCGAGAGACCCCGTCTCTACTATAAATAGAAAGAAATTAATTGGCCAACTAATATATATATAGAAAAAAATTAGCTGGGCATGGTGGCGCATGTCTGTAGTCCTAGCTACTCGGGAGGCTAAGGCAGTAGGATGGCTTTAGCTCAGGAGTTTGAGGTTGCTGTGAGCTAGGCTGATCCCACGGCACTCACTCTAGCCTCGGCAACAAAGTGAAACTCTGTCTCAAAAAAAAAAAAAACAAAAAAGAAAACTTCAAATATAGTTCTATCTATAAACCTTAAGGATCAAAAGCTTGGCATCATTAACCTACTAGTCTTTAGAAAACTAGAATTCATTTAGAAAACTAAGTTGTACTCCAAGGAAATGGATTTAATTAGTCAAGCTACTTATAAGCAGCTATATTTCTTAATCCTCATGCAATTCACAAGACTATAGAGAAGTTCTGTCCCCAGTAGAACTTAACTGCAATGATTAAAAATGTTCGGGGTCGGGCGCAGTGGCTCACGCCTATAATCCCTAGCACTCTGGGAGGCCAACACGGGTGGACTGCTTGGGGTCAGGAGTTCGAAACCAGCCTGAGCAAGAGCGACACCCCGTCTCTACTAAAAATAGAAAGAAATTAATTGGCCAACTAATATATATAGAAAAAATTAGCCAGGCATGGTGGCGCATGCCTGTAGTCCCAGCTGCTTGGGAGGCTGAAGCAGCAGGATTGCTTGAGCCCAGGAGTTTGAGGTTGCTGTGAGCTAGACTGACGCCACGGCTCTTACTATAGTCTGGACAACAAAGTGAGACTCTGTCTCAAAAAATAAATAAATAAATAAAAAATAAAAATGTTCTGTATTGGCCGGGTGTGGTGGCTCATGCCTGTAATCCTAGCACTCTGGAAGGCCAAGGCAGGACGATTGCTTGAGCTCAGAAGTTCAAGACCAGCTTGAGCAAAAAGCGAGGCCCCCATCTCTACTTAAAAATAGAAAAAAAATTAGCTGGGCAACTAAAAATAGAAAAAATCAGCTGGGCCTGGTGGTGTGCACCTGTAGTCCCAGCTACTCAGGAGGCTGAGGCAGGAGGATCCCTTGAGCCCAGGAGTTTGAGGTTGCTGTGAGCTAGGCTGACACCATGGCACCCTAGCCCAAGACTCCGTCTCAAAAAAAAAAAAAAAAAAAAAGTTCTGTATCTGTGCTGGCCAATACAGTGACTCCTAATCACACATGACTAGAGAGCACTTGAAATATGTCTAGTGCAACTGAGGAAGTAAATATTTAATTTTACTTACTCTTAACTACTTTGAATTTAAATAGCCACAGGTGACCAGCAGCTACCACATCACACAGCACGGCAATGAAGCAGAGCAAGAAAACCACTGGAGTTTTCTACTGCGTACTGTGATCTGAGTAGTATCTTCTAACTGCAGAGAAAAATCTTATCTAGTTAAGATATCACAATACTGGGTAAGGAACTAGTTAAATAAAAGCTGTGGATGAGATACAAAAATTTGAGCAAAAGAATTTAATGACTACACATGTAACTTTTAGGCATTTTTACAGAAAATGTTATTAAAAAGTTAAAATCATTGAAAATTTCAAATACTGAAAGTTAGCCAGATCTGAATTATATAAACTTTAAACATTCTTTCATATCAAAAAATATTAAGTAGTTCTCCCCTTATCCAATGTTTCACTATTGACAATTTCAGTTACCCACAGTCAACTGTAGTCTAAAAACAGGTGAGTACAGTACAGGAAGATATTCTGAGAGAATGCATTCAAATAACTTTTATTATAGTATATTGTGATAACTGGTCTATTTTATTAATAGTTATTATTGTTAATCTTTTACTGTGCCTAATTCATAAATTAAACTTTGTCATAGGTATATATGTACAGGAAAAATTATTTTATATATGTGTATATGTATGTATGTATGTGTATATATATGTGTGTGTATATATATATTGAGAGAGAGAGAGAGAGAGTTCTTTTTTTTTGAGATAGGGTCTCACTCTGTTTCCCAGGCTAGAGTACCATGGCATCAGACTAGCTCACAGTAACCTCAAACTCTTGGGCTCAAGGGATCCTCCTGCTTCAACCTCACGAGTAGTTGCCATTATAGGCATGTACCACCATGCCCAGCTAATTTTTCCTATTTTTAGTAGAGACGGGGTCTCGCCTTTGCTCAGGCTGGTCTTGAACTCCTGACCTCAAGCGATCCTCCCTCCTCAGCCTCCAAGAATGCTAGGATTACAAGCATGAGCCACCATGCCCAGCCATGGTTCAGTATTATCTACAATTTTAGGTATCCACTGGAGATCCTGGAATTTATTCTCTGGGGATAAGGGCAGATAACTGTACCAAAATAATTTTCATGTATACTAAGCAAGCATCATTTGATCTAAAACTATAGGCTCTGTTACTTGTACCTGTTTTAAAAGAGAAGGTGTCCTAAAAAGCCTCCCCTCTTCTCTTCCCAATATATTATCCTACTTTTGAGTAGGAAAGGCTTTCAGAAAGTCAGTTCTCCCTAATATATCACCTAATATTATTACATCTTTTAAAAAGTCACTAAATATGTTTGCTGTATTGAAGACTGCACATACCAGTGCAAGTAGTTGATGGAATAACTCCAGTGATCTTCAATGTGCCAACAAAAAGAAGAGAAGCACATTCCCACATAGAGCCATGGTACCTTCATACCAGAGATGTCCACATTAATATGTGCAAGGACGGACTGCTCCAGGACAGGCATGTTATTCAAATTCCAACCAGAAAGTGCATATTCCTATAAAAGAAAAAAAACTATAAATGAAAGATCAGAAATGACAAGTGCTCAACAGAAATGTCAAGTGAATCTTCTAAGAAAGGTAAAAATTTTATAAAATTTACAATAAACTAGTCCATATAATCTGTGTTCTTAGTTCTTCAATACATGTAACTCACATAACTAAATATTTAATCCTATCTCCTGTGTAATGTCTATTTAGATTTCCCTTTACTTCAGATACCTCTGGTTTACTCTAGAGAACATGAACAAAGCTGCTTATTACTCCCCAGCCTATCAGTAAAACAGTGAGACCCATTTTAACAGATAACTATGTTATTTCTACTCCATCCTCAGTAGCATAATTTTCCAAAATGTTTATTACTTTATTTACAGCATGGTGCTAGACACTGTGAAAACAAAACAGAATAAGACACATAATCCTGAATTTGTGACAACAATGCAGACTGATGAACAGAAAGTCACTACTACCACTCCTACCTACAAACATATCTAGAAATATTGCATAAATTATAATAACAAAAAAATTTCATAGCTCAACTCAAAAGAAAAAGGACTTTCCAGTTTCCAGAAACAGAAAGGAGGCAAAACCAGAATGAAAAAGGAAGTTGCTATTAGAGTTATCACAGAGGTTTCTAAATGGATATAGACACTGAAAACTAAGTTTCAAACCCCATCTCTGAAGCCATAAAGGTAGTGATTTTAAGTGCTTATAATCTTTATGGAGAGCAGTTCTCAAAGTGGGGTCCAGAGGATCCATGATGTGAAACTATTTTCATAATTCTAAGATGTTATTTGCCTTTTGCACTAATATTCTTGCAAGAGTGTAGTGAATTTTCCAGAAGAAACACACTATGTGATATCACAACAGACTGAATGCAGAAGCAGAAATGAGAATCCAACTATCTTCTATTAGAAAGTTAGTAACTGAACCTGGATGCCAGGTACTAAGGCGGGGGAAGTTCATTACTGTATTACTTTTAAATGTTTAGAATTTTCTATAATAAAAGGTTTTTTTTAAAAAACCCTCAAAGTAAGAGGGTTAAACAGCCAGTTACAAAACTGAAGAGAGAATTTGTGAATTAGAAGAGAGATTTGAAGAAATTATCCACAATGTACCATGAAGATAGAGAAAATATAAAAGTATAATTAAGACTCATGAAGAATAGACTAAGAAAGTCCAGCACAGGGTTAACTAGGAATTCCAATAAGAAATAACAGAGATACTACGCCTACATTCATAGGCTAAAAGAAGAAAATAAAAGGATTTAAATAGATAGTATGTCTATACTACCCGAAGTGATCTACAGATTCAATGCAATCCCTATTAAAATACCATCATCATTTTTCACAGATACAGAAAAAATAATTCTGTACTTCATATGGAACCAGAGAAGACCCCACATAGCAAAAGTTATCTGAAGCAAAAGGAACAAATTGGGAGGCATCAATTTACCAGACTCCAACTATACTACAAGGCTATAGTAACTAAAACAGCATGGTACTAGCACAAGAACAGAGAATAGACCAATGGAACAGAACTGAGAACCCAGATATAAAACCATCCTCATATAGCCATCTAATCTTTGACAAAGCAGACAAATACATACACTGGAGAAAAGAATCCTTATTCAATAAATGGTGGTGGGAAAACTGGATAGTCACATATAGAAGACTGACACAGGATCTGCACCTTTCACCTCTCACAAAAATCAACTCACGGTGGATAATAGACTTATACTTAAGGCGTGAAACTGTAAGAATTCTAAAAGAAAATGTTAGAAAAATTCTTCTAGACATTGGCCTAGGCAAAGAATTTACGAAGAAGACACCAAAAGCAATCACAGCAACAACAAAAATAAATAAATGGGACCTGATCAAATTAAAAAACTTAGGCCGGGCGCTGTGGCTCACGCCTGTAATCCTAGCTCTTGGGAGGCCGAGGCGGGCGGATTGCTCAAGGTCAGGAGTTCAAAACCAGCCTGAGCAAGAGCGAGACCCGTCTCTACTATAAATAGAAAGAAATAATTGCCAACTGATATATATGTAAAAATTAGCCGGCATGGTGGCGCATGCCTGTAGTCCAGCTACTCGGGAGGCTGAGGCAGAAGGATCACTCAAGCCCAGGAGTTTGAGTTGCTGTGAGCTAGGCTGACGCCACGGCACTCACTCTAGCCTGGACAACAAAGTGAGACTCTGTCGCAAAAAAAAAAAAAAAATTAAAAAACTTTTACACAGCCAAGGAAACTACCATGAGAGCAAACAGACAGCCTACAGAATGGGAGAAAATATTCGCATGTTACACATCTGATAAAGGGCTGATAACTAGAATCTATATAGAACTTAAAGAAAATCAACAAGAAAAAAAATCAAACAACCCTATCAAAAAGTGGGCAAAGGACAAGAACCTTTCAAAAGAAGATACACTAATGGCTAACAAACATATGAAAAACTGCTCATAGGCTGACGCCATGGCACTCTAGCCAGGGCAACAGAGTGAAACTCTGCCTCAAAAAAAATTATTAAAAAAAAAAAAATAAGAAAAACTGCTCAAAAACTCTAATCATCGGGGAAATGCAAATCAAAACTACAATGAGATATCACTTATCCTCGGTGAGAATGGCCTTTCCCAGAAAGTCCCAAAACAAATGTTGGCGTGGATGCAGAGAGATAGAACACTCCTACGTTGCTGATGGGACTGCAAACTAGTTCAACCTCTGTGGAAAGCAATATAGAGATACCTTAAAGAGATACAAGTATCACGCCTATAATCCTAGCACTCTGGGAGGCCGACACGGGTGGACTGCCCGAGGTCAGGAGTTCGAAACCAGTCTGAGCGAGACCCCCATCTCTACTAAAAATAGAAAGAAATTAATTGACCAACTTAAAAAAAATATGTATATATATATGTATATATATATTATATAATATATATATATATATATATATATATATAAAAATAAAATGAACTGGCATGGTGGGCGCATGCCTGTAGTCCAGCTACTCGGAGAGGATTTGAGGTTGCTGTGAGCTAGGCTGATGCCACGGCAATCACTCTAGCCTTGGCAACAAACTGAGACTCTGTCTCAAAAAAAAAAGAGAGATACAAGTACAACTACCATTTGATCCAGTAATCCCTCTACTGGGCATCTACCCAAAGGAAAAAAAGACATTCTACAAAAAAGACATCTGCATTTGAATGTTTATAGCAGCACAATTCACAGTTGCAAAAATGAGGAAACATCCCAAGTGCCCATCAATACATGAGTGGATTAATAAAATGTGGTATATGTACACTATGGAGTTCTCCTCAGCCACAAAAAACAATGGTGATCTAGCGCCTCTTGTATTATCCTGGATAGAACTGGAGCCCATTCTAAGTGAAGTATCCCAAGAATGGAAAAACAAGCACCACACATACTCACCATCAAATTGGTATTAACTGATCAACACTTAAGTATATATATAGTAATAACATTCATCAAGTGCCGAGGAGATGGGAGGGGGAAGGAGGGAATGGGTATACACACATGTAATGGGTACAGTGCGCACCATCTGAGGGACGGACACACTTGAAGCTCTGACTTGGGTGGGGCAAGGGCAATATACGTAACCTAAACATTTGTACCTATGTAATATACTGAAATAAAAATAAATAAATAAATAAATAAACAAACAGATATTACTCAGCTGCTTTCCTTCTCCCACAACCCCTCACGCTCCTCCTTTCCAACTTGGGCCTGGCAGAATGGCTCCCCCAGAGAAGGGTGGCAAAAAGAAGAAGGGCTGTTCTGCCATCAATGAGGTGGTGACCTGAGAATACACCATCAACATTCACAAGTGCATCCATGGTGTGGGCTTCAAGAAGCATGTCCCTCGGGTACTCAAAGAGATCCGGAAATTTGCCATGAAGGAAATGGGAACTCCAGAAGTGCGCAATGACACCAGGCTCAACAAAGCCGTCTGTGCCAAAGGAATAAGGAATGTCCCATACCATATCTGTGTGCACTTGTCCAGAAAACATAATGAGGATGAAGATTCACCAAACAAGCTCTATACTTTAGTTACATATGTACCTGTTACCACTTTAAAAAATCTACAGTCAATGTGGATGAGAACTGCTGAATGTCAGATACATGAAATAAAATTATAAAAACAAAAAACAGGTATCACTCAATATGTTTGCTGGCTGGTTGGTTAGCTGGTTGGCTGAAAAAAATAATGGATCTAGTTGAAGAGACAAGGTTTACACACAAAGCAAGTTACAACACAAGGCAATATATATTAAACTCCAAATTAAAAAAAAAGAATAAATTTAAAACAGTAATCATCATGGGTCTGAATTATTAGGAAACTTCATGGAAAAGGAAAAACCTGTGTTGAGCTTGGAGGAATAGGTAAGATTTGAATACACATTCTAGGAGGGAGAGCTACAGGAATGTAAAAGGCAAATTACAGAGAGACAATATACTAGTCTGGAAGAGTAGAAGAGTCACACTCAGAAATATGGGAAATAAGACTAGATAAGAAGTTTGGATCTATAATCTTAAGTTTTAGACTAAGAAGCTTAGATTTTATCCTATAGTCAAAAAGGAAATAAGGCCGGGCGCGGTGGCTCACGCCTGTAATCCTAGCTCTCTGGGAGGCCGAGGCGGGCGGATTGCTCGAGGTCGGGAGTTCAAAACCAGCCTGAGCAAGAGCGAGACCCCGTCTCTACTATAAATAGAAAGAAACTAATTGGCCAACTAATATATATAGAAAAAATTAGCCGGGCATGGTGGTGCATGCCTGTAGTCCCAGCTACTTGGGAGGCTGAGACAGAAGGATCGCTTGAGCCCAGGAGTCTGAGGTTGCTGTGAGCTAGGCTGACGCCACGGCACTCACTCTAGCCTAGGCAACAAAGTGAAAAAAAAAAAAAAAAAAAGGAAATAAAAGACTCTGAAAAATTAAACAGTATGATGAACAGAATCCTTAAATATTTTTAAACTTCTGATTATAGAAATTTTCAAACATAAACAAAAGTAGACAGAATTGCAAAATAAACTCCCACTAACCCATCATTCCATAAATGTTAAGTGACAGCAATATATGAGAGAGACTACAGAGAGAAGCAGTATGCAAAAAACGATTTGAAGCTTTTCCTAACAGGTAAGAAGTGCCTCATAGTGCCCAGACTGTACAATGTGGTTTATGCTAAACACCTGCTTTCCTCATGCAAGTCTTAATTTTGGTACATGTTTGACAAAGGGTGCTCCTGTCACCAGCTGCCAATAAAAACCTTGGGCACGGAGCTTCCCTGGCAGGCAACATTTCACACATGCGACCATAATCTGATACTGGAGTAATTAAGTACATCCTGTGAGACCCTCCCTGGGAGAAGACTCTTAGAAGCCTGTGCCTGGTTTCCTATGGACTTTGCCCATCCAATTTTTTCCTGTACTGATCCTGCTGTATCCTTTCACTGTAATAAATCATAGCCATCAGACCGCCTAGCAAATCACTGAACCTGGGGATGGTCTTGAACCTTGGGGACTCCCAATACAAAGAGTCATTATGTAGGATCACAATGATCATCCCAACACATGATAAGGACCTAGACAAGTATGGTAGTAGTGGGAATGGAAAAGAGCCAATCCTACAGAAAACAGAAAGCAATGAAAAATGAACTAACAGGATTTAGTCAATGCTTAAGATGGAATAAGGAGGATGAGAAAAAAAAAATGTCTCAACTTCTATATCTATCTTCATTTCCCAGAAACCCTGTATGTATAGCACACTATATTCACAAGACACAACTTTGGAAGTATGTTTCCATTTAACTGTGATACCAGAGAGGCATGCTATCAGATATCAAGAGGCTAATTCATACTACAGAAACTCAACACAAATGTACAATTCCTGGTGAAAAGTTGGTAGTTATCTGCTATTTTAATACAGTAATTTTTAGAACAGAGTAACAAATTTATATAAAAAATAAGAAGTCTAAGGCCGGGCGCGGTGGCTCACGCCTGTAATCCTAGCACTTTGGGAGGCCGAGGCGGGCGGATTGCTCAAGGTCAGGAGTTCGAAACCAGCCTGAGCGAGACCCCGTCTCTACCAAAAATAGAAAGAAATTAATTGACCAACTAAAAATATATATACAAAAAAAAAAATTAGCCGGGCATGGTGGCACATGCCTGTAGTCCCAGCTACTCGGGAGGCTGAGGCAGTAGGATCGCTGAGCCCAGGAGATTGAGGTTGCTGTGAGCCAGGCTGACCCCACGGCACTCACTCTAGCCTGGGGCAACAAAGTGAGACTCTGTCTCAAAAAAAAAAATAAATAAAAAAATAAGAAGTCTGAAAGTTTTAGGTTCATTGTCTAATTAGTACCCCAAATCCTTTTGTAATAAATAGGTTCTCTAATACCATCTTACGACCAAAACAGAATCCTAAGTAAAACATTACTGCTTAGAAAATAAATAGCAAATCTGTGACCCAGTCTAGAAAAAAAGGCTTTATCACCCATCTCTTAATATTACAGTTGACATTGTTAAAGCTCAGAAATCAATGTTACAATTTAAAATTACAAAGAGAAAAGTTTTTAACTTAAGACATTTAGCAAAATATTTCTAACCAATTAATCCAAAACTAATTACTTAACTCAAAGAATCACAGTTGGAAGAAGAATAAAAGCCACAGTAGGCCAGCTTTTTGACCCTCTCTCTGTTATAGGAAAAATAATAAAGACAGGCAGCCTCTGATGTGCCCCTACCCCACCCATCACCTGATCATCACCTTCTGAAATTCAGGACCTTGTCTAGTCCCCTCCCATACTGAACAGGGCTCACCTATGTAACCAGTAATACATTGCAGATATTAAGAAATCTGATTTTTTCATACTATGGTTTCTCTTCAAAACAAATAAATCTTTCGCCTTTTACTAAAGATTTCCGTGGAGAGAGACAGTTATGAGTTGGTAACCAAATTTTTTGAAGTCTTGCTTAGGCAAAGCTAAGTAAAAAAAAAAAAAAAAAAGTGTAACAGCTCTTTTAGAATTTGTCTAGCAGGTCCTTACCAGAAGGCCCAATTAAAAAAAAAAAGAAAAGAAATCTGATTTTTGAAGTTAGATTATAAGATATTGTGACTCTATCTGGGTCTCAAGCAGACCAATGGAGAGGCCCACATGGCTAGAATCTGAGCCCTCCAACCAACATCCATATGAATGAGCCATTTTGAAAGCAGATCCACTAGCCCCAGTCAAGCCTTGAAAGCCTTGGGAACTTCAGCCCAAACATTATTTTTCTTTTTTCTAAAGAGGTAGTGTCATGCTCTGTCACTCAAGATAGAGTGCAGTGGGGCATGATCATAGCTCACTGTAACTTTGACCTCCTCTGGCTCAAGCAATCCTCCCTCCTTAGCCTCTCAAGTAACTAGGACAAACAGGCATGAGCCACCACAACTGGCTAATTTTTTTCATAGTTCTTTAGAAACAGAGTCTCGCTATATTGCTCAGGCTAGTCATAAACTCTTGGCCTCAAACAATCCTCCCACCTCAGCCTCCCAAATAGCTGGGATTGATTATAGGCACAAACTACTACACCCGGCTTTCAAACATGGTATCTTGACAGCAACCTCACGAGAGACTTTAAGCTAGAACTATCATTAAACCACTCACAAATTCCTGACCCACAGAAACTATGAAATAATGAATGTTTATTATTTAAGACCCTAAGGTTAGAAGTAATATGTTACTTGACAACAGAAAACCAAATAGATGGTCAGGAATAAAACTTGAATAGACCCTCCATCCAATAATTACTGTCAAGGACAAAAAAAGCCACTCCTATCTTCATGTTTAACAGATACAGTCATATCCTGTATTTCTTCACATTGTTACATAAAGGTGAATGGGGTAAAAGCAGAAAAAAATAAATATATTTTTTTTTTAGAATCCACACAAAATTCAAATACAGAGCAGGATTAATATTTACATTCATAATATTACTTAGAGTCACTAAATAATATTTTAAACCTCTGTGACCTTATTTCTAAAAGACGATTAGAAAAATGAATAAATAAGGTTAGAAAATATAAATATCTGCTCGAGAACAATTTAAAAATTCAGAACAGAAACAAAATTCAGAAAAATGAAAGAGCTCTAAAATGAAGTCTCTCTTTGATAATGAGATCATTGCCTTCCTTCTGCCAATGGGAGGATGTGAAGAAACTCGGGTTGATGCATTTCTTCATAGATACCTACACAAACCAGGTTTAAAGTTCATTGATACTGAACATGTCTGTATACATTCCAACACTTAACTGTTCCTGTAAAAACTATCCCAATAAAATCTATGTTCTCCATCCCATTGTAACATTCTCTCTCTCCCTTGGTAAAACCTTAAGTCTATTCTTTAATCAATATTACCCTAACCTGTGAACCTTTCTTAATCCTACCATCACAAGAGAAAAAAAAAAAAAAAATCAATAAGGCCAGAAGAAAAATAAAACAAATACTAAGTATCTCAAAAAATACAGCCAAAAAAGAGAAATTAAAGTTTTAACTAAAAATTTTTAACACTAAAAGAAAGCCATAAAAAACCAAATGAAGGGGGAAAAAGCCATGAGACATAGAAAACAGCAAAATGGCAAACATAAATCAATTATACCAATAATTACATTAAATGTAAATGAACTGAACACTCCAACCAAAAGGCAACCGTCAGACTAGCTAAAAAGACAAGATCCAATTATATGCTATCTACAAAAGACACACTTTAGGTTCTAAAACACAAACAGCTTTAAAAGAAAAGAATGGAAGAAGATACACCATGTAAATGACAACTATAAAGAGAGCTAGAATAGCTATACTTTTAATTAATATTCTTCTATACTACATACCTTTTTTTCCATGTGTAACACTTTTAATAAGAGATACAACTCTTAAATTGTTGCCAATTATAGAGGGAAAGAAAAAGTGTCAAGAGAAATAAAAAGCATGAAGAACCAAAGTAACAAGAAAAGAAATGAATGATCACCTCAATTCAGCTTTACACATAGAGGTCATCTCCTATGTGCCTATGTGACAGGACTTCATGTATATGTTACAGTTTAAATGCATACTTGAAAACCTACCTGCCTAGGTACTCAAGGAAACTTATTTCTGGACCCATCAATAAAATGTAATCTTTTAAAAAACCTAAATCACTTTCTAGATTTTAAAATAGAAAGAATTAGCCAAAGTTTTAAAATGAAGTTAAAGTTTAAAATTAATTCAATTACCTTTAAAATGCAGAGTTAATTTTTTTTTTTTTTTTGAGTCAGAGTCTCACTCTGTTGCCTGGGCTAGAGTACCGTGGCATCAACCTAGCTCACAGCAATCTCAAACTCTTGGGCTCAAGTGATCCTACTGCTTCAGCCTCACAAGTAGCTGGGACTACAGGCACGCACCACCATGCCTGGCTAATTTTTTCTATATATTTTTAGTTGGCCAGTTCCTTTCTATTTTTAGTAGAGATGGGGTCTCACTCTTGCTCAGGCTGGTTTCGAGCTCCTGACCTTGAGCAATCCTCCTGCCTCGGCCTCCCAGAGTGCTAGGATTACAGGCGTGAGCCACCACGCCCGGCCAGAGTTAAGTAATTTTTAAAGGTATTTCTGAATTGTTTTTAAAACGGAAGATAATTTATATTGTCCAAATCCTACATATTTAATATTTTAAGTTAATGTGGTCCCTTAAGATAGAGAAAGGTAGTTTTCTATGCAAAGGCTAAGTCAGCTTGGGGTAAGTAAAAGTTTGGCTAATACTATCTGCACCTCTTCTTCTGGCAGCATCTTTCTCTGACCATCCTTAACAGGAAATCCACTTCCAAAGTCTTTTGAGGAGATGTCCGCTCCATACTCCACAATAACATCTTCTTCAATGCTGCTCACCAGCCGCCAGAATTCCTTTTCTACCAGTTCTGTGGGAACCATCTACACAGGGAAAACAAAAATAATAGATTATTAATCCACTATAACCATAACACACTATAACGTAAAACACAGGTCAACTAAACACAAACCCATGATGAAATTTAATTTAAATCTTCTCATTTCCTGAGGCAGAAAAGACTGGCGTCCTAGCTTTTTCCACTGGGCTGGAGAAAAGCTAAAGACAACCTGGATGTTCAGAAAAACATAATGAACTTATACTGCCTTTTTCTGAAAAAAACTGCTTCCCAACTAGGAAAAACAAATATGAATGAGCATATCAAGGATTAACAAGGAAATGTAAATATCAAGGCTGAATTTTTGGCCAATTTTGGCAAATATTTTTGACAGAGACTAAAAAAGCTCAAGATCCCATTCAGAAAAAAAGAAAACCCTATTATTACAAACAACTAAACAAATGCAGCACCTGCCAAATACTTCATGCTTTTCTGTAAAGAATTACTCACATAGGATTAAAAAAATAATTCAAGCATCAAAACAGATTTTACAACAGAAGAGAGTGCAAACTGCCACAATGAAGAGTAAAACAAAAAGAAATAGATGTCAGGCCCCTAATTTTAAGATTTAGTGTTCTATCATCTTTTTCACACTGTTTTCTACAAAACAATAAAAGTAAAAAAGGAAATCAAAAGCTCTGGGCTCAGATAAATCTTTGTACCTCTCCAAACTGATCTAAAAAGATAACTACTCACATGGACTGGCATATTGAAATAATCAGACTTAAAATTATCTGCCATCTCTCCAAAGCTCTGAAGTGTATACTCTCGTACAGCTTGTTCAAAGCCAAAGGCTTCTCGAGGTTTGTTACATTCCTGGAAAGATATAAAATATCTAAGATTAACTCACTGAAACTGAACTGAAGAAAGCTTTAAAGCTTTTCGGTACTACCTTCTTCGATCATCTCCCTAGGTAAAGCAAATCCAATCAACCCTAGAGAACAAAACAAGTATTAGCTACTTGCAACACAGTATCAGGAAATTATGTTCTAGAACCTCAAGTGCATTTTCACAGCTTTCCCTAGGAAGGTGGTAATGAGACAGTTTTCAACTCTGGAGTTGGCATTAAGCTCTGGCACTATGACAAGCACCTACAGGACTACTGACCTGGAATCAAGCCCAGGGATGTATTTTTTTTTTTTTTTAAGGCTAGTCAAGTGAAGCAGTGAGAGTGGAGAAGGAACAAAGGAATCTCTAACTGCTTGAGATCAGTTGTAAACACTAAACACCACTGCACTCAGACCAGTCAATGCCTATCATTTTTAGCATACCAGTGGATTTGGCCATAGAGAAAATAAATGTTAGTGAGAAAAGGAAAGGTAGATAAAGGGATATCCACTGGATTGCTAGGTTACCTAAGAGAATGGTTTGTTCACACTATCAATCACCACAACCACTGTCTTAACACAAATATATACTTAGAGAAGAACTGCCTTTTGAATCTTTTAACCTTGTGAACAAGAAATAAATAATAATCCAAAGACCACTGAATGCATCTAGATACACCCAGCCAACTCTATCATAACATTTTGTTAAAATAAGTAAACAGACAATGCATTTCATGAAAATGACATCATTATAATCTTTCAATAAAAAAAATTTAGTACAATCATGTCAAATTTGGACAAGCTAAAAGACATCATCAATTTATTTACTAGCATGAAACCTGGATGCATAAATCCCAAGTTCTACAGCTCCAAGTCTGGTTGTACTTTCTTTAAAAAAATTAAAGAAGAAAAAACCACCCATAGCTTTTCTTCATTTTTATTATTGTCCAGCAATATGAATATTCTGAGCACAAGTCTCATTCATCTGCAGCAATAAATAGAATTATCTAACCAACAGTCAGAAAAAGAACCTTTGAAAGGCAAGCTACAACAATACAATTATTACATTTCTATTCAACATAGCATTATTTTAAAATCCTGGAAATTTTAAACACTGAAGAATTGAGTGGAAAAAGCTTTTGGGAACGTGTTTACATGTATGTCTATGCATGCATTATTGTTTTCAATTAAAAGAGGATCCAGAAATATTAGGCTTGTACCTCAGCAACACATTTAGGACACCTCCAGTCTCCTTTGGGCACATCAGGTAGTGGAGGAATTAGACAAAAAGTATGATAGCTGTCATCACATCCATCACACAAAAGCAATTTATCTTCATTGTTTCCCCGGCCACAAAACATACAAACATACAGATCAACCTGTTAAAAAAAAATAAAAAGTTTATTTCTATAAAATTTCTACCCGAAACTCAATTAAAACAAAATAATGTCAATAAAGTAAACATAACTTAAATCCTAAATATCTATGTCAAATAATTGCATTTAAACAGCTTTCTGTAAATTTCCTTCCAGAGCTTCTACAGTTAATAAAAGCATATCAAGTTGTTAGAATAAAGAAAGACTACCCATCTATTTGAAAATCAACTTATAGTTCAAAAAATAAAAATACCATGTTGTTCCTTCTATATACTCCTGGCCAGGCAAGGTGGCTTGTGCCTGTAATCCTAGCACTCTGCAGAGGCCAAGGTAGGAGGATTGCTTGAGCTCAGGAGTTTGAGACTTGCCTGAGCAAAAGCGAGACCCCATCTCTGCTATAAAATAGAAAAATTAGCCAGGTGTAGTGGCACGCACCCGTAGGCCCAGCTACTTGAGGGGCTGAGGCAGAAGGATCACTTGAGCCCAGAATTTTGAGGCTGCAATGAGCTACGATGATGCCACTGCACTCTACCCAAGGCAACATAGTGAGACTCTACCTCAGAAAAACAAAACCACCTAAAACAAACAAACAAACAAACAAAATTCCTTGGTAGAGAATAAATACTGAACACTGTAATACAACTCAACAATTTACACAGATTCATATGAATTCTCTCAGTTATCCATAAGGTGTATGACTTAAGGGAAACAGTCTACATGTAAGGGACAAAGCAAGGTTAATACTACATGCACCCAAGCTGCAACTTTATAGATTTATCATCAAGTCTTCTAACCAAATGAGCTAACTAAACCACATACCAAGATACGCCAAGATAAAAAGTACAAAACTAAAATAAAAATAAATCCTTTCCCTCTTGACACATCCCAAAACACTTACAAAGTTTACAGAGAGAGATCCTTTCCGCTGTCTCATTTGCATGTTAAATGTGTCTGACCTGTTGGTAACTTTTCGTCTTCTGGTGATCTCATCTTGAAATAGAAAGTTACATAATAATAGTAAAAAGTAATGTTGAAAGCCTACTATGGACCAGATACTATTTAAGATTATTTAAATTAGTTAAAACCTGACAACACTAGCAGGTAGATACACTATTATCTCTCGTTAAAGATAAAGAACCTGAGGTATAAAGGAGTTAATAACTTGCTCAAAATCACACAGCCAGTCAGTGGCAGATTTGGGATTCTAATCTCAGCAATCAAGCTTGAGGGACCTTAACCAGCAATGCTATACTTGTATGCAGTACTTACTATGTATTACATGTATGTATTACTTGCAGAGACTCTCAAATCAGTCATGGACTAATTCTTAAGATCATTGACAACCAATACAGTAACAACAAAAGTGAAATACTAATTCTTTAAAGGGTAATAATAATCATTGTCATAAGTCCTATGACATGGAATGTTTTGAGAGAGATGGAACAGTATTATCTGATCCTCTACAGTTCAGTCCACTATCTGAACTATATGATTTAACTACCCATATCACAGAGCATGGTAATAATTAACATGATTTGTAACTGTAGCATTTGATTAAGTTCTTATATAATCAAAACATATCCAATTTAATCTTTGTTAAAATTGACATATTACATAGGGAAAATAGTAGAACTTGATCTTTGCATTAGCAATTCTACTCACAAAAAAGTTTTAAACATAGAAAGCTGAGAGTACCAGGCTTTCTGAAAAAAACACAATTTAAATGAAGTATCATAATATATCAAGGGCAATTTTTAAAAACTCAAAATTATAGACTGCAATCCAAGCACTCTGGGAGGCTGAGGGGGAGGATTGCTCAAGATTAGGAGATCAAAACCAGCCTGAGCAAGAGCGAGACCCTGTCTCCACTAAAAACAGAAAGAAATTAATTGGCCAAATAAAAATATATAGAAAAAATGAGCCAAGCATGGTGGCGCATGCCTGCAGTCCCAGCTACTCGGGAGGCTGAGGCAGAAGAATCGCCTGAGCCCAGGAGTTTAAGGTTGCTGTGAGCTAGGCTGACGTCACTACACTCTAGCCAGGATGACAGAGTGAGACTGTCTCAAAAAAAAAAAAAAAAACTGCAATAAATTTCTGTGTCATATAGTAGCTATGGGGAAGGAAAATTCTCTCTTCCAAAATCATAAAAATTCAACATAATGTTGCTTTTCACACATTAAATTTAAAATATCTAACACAGAAACCTAGGAACCATGTTACAATTTTACAATTCCTTAAAAAATTCCTAACACAGACTACAATTCAAGTATCATTCAAATCTTTTTATAACCATATTGTTGCACCTTATTTCTTTTCATGACCAATAACAGATTTTACCTTCTTTTTTTTTTTCCTTTTCTCTCAAATGTGTTCACAGGAAGATTTTTACCTTCTTTATCTTTTGCTCCTATTGCCAGGCCCACAACCTTGGGCCCAGCCCCAAAAATCTGAAGTTTCTTCAGTTCTGTGCTTCTATTCACTTCGCCAGATTCTGACTACAAAATAATAAACAAAATTCACATTAGCATAATTATACTGATTCATGCATTTCTTTTCTCTTTTTTTTTCAAGACATGGGGCCTCACTCTGTTGCCGAGGCTGCAGTGCAGGGGTGCAATCACATCTCACTTGCAATCTCAAACTCCTGGGCTAGAGCAATCCTCCTGCCTCAACCTTCTGAGTAGCTAGGACTACAGGTACCTAGGTGCCTAGGTAGCTAGGCACCACCATGCCTGGCATGCATTTATTTTCTTGCCCAAGAGAAGTTTCAAGATCCTCTTCAAAATGAAGGAAAAACATTATTTGATTTCTTGCTGTAAATCTACTCACTGACTCTTACAACAGTTGAAAACAGTCACCAAAGCACCATGCAACAACCATATTCCTTTCTACTAAATAAAATTTGTCTATATCTCATATAAGTACAGTTGTCAAGTTGTCTAAAGACAGACACTACTGTTGATTATGCAATAGGAACTTCCACCTCTAACTTACTAATGGACATCTCTCTTTGATTAGAGGGCAGTATGCCTAGCTCAGGTGATGAATCATGATTATTCTAAGCCAATTATGTCAATCCTATTTCTCTTTGTTTGTGATGGCCTAGCTAGGGTCAGAATGTGATCCAGTTCTAGCCCACAAGATATTAAAACAAAAGCTAACTGGAAGCCTCTGGAAAAGATTTTTATGTTCTAATAAAAGGAAAAGCTTCTCAAAGAATAAGTCCTTCTGCCCCAACTCCCTCTCTTCATGCTAGGAGACTCAGTCTGATGAAAACATGGTGCCAGACCCTGCCGCAACCACACAAATAGGAAAGGATTTATCACCCACATACTAAAGAAAGCAAGGTAGAAAGATGCAAAGAGCCTGGGTCCTTGATGACAATGTGAAGATGCTATACCAATCCTAGAACTATTTACCTATGAAAATCTTACATGAAAAATGTGTTCTTAATTTTGTAATGTTTAAGTTACTGTCATCCGGCATTCTATTAATTGAAGCTAAGAGAATCCTGACAAAAACTGGTGTTAAATCTTGAATTTAGATGAACCACAATCTCTGAATGTAGAATAATAACCAAAATTTATTTTAAATGTATAAATAAACAATAAGTATACCAGAATATGTGAGGAGCTCAAACTACTCTATAGCAAAAAAGCTAAGTAATCCAATTTAAAAACGGGCAAAAGATCTGAATAGATACTTCTCAAAAGAAGACATACAAATGGCCAACAGATACACGAAAAAATGTTCAACATCACTAATTATTAGAGAAATGCAAATCAAAACTACAATGAGATATCATCTCACCCCAGTTAAAATGGCTTTTATCAAAAAGACAGGCAATAACAGATACTGGCAATGATGCGGAGAAAGAGAAATGCTCATTACACTGTTGGTAGAAATGCCAATTAGTACAGCCACTATAGAGAATAGTATGGAGGTTCTCAAAGAAGTAAATATATCTACTATATGATCTGGCAATTCCATTACTGGATATATATCTAAAAGAAAGGAAATCAACGTATATTGAAAAGACATCTGCATTCCCAAGTTTATTGTGTTAATAGCACCATTCATATCAATAATAGCCAAAATATGGAATCAACCTAACTGTCCAACAATGAATAAATGGGTAAAGAAAATGGAATATAGATACACAATGGAATATTATTCAGCCATAGTAAAGAATGCAATCTTGTCATTTGCAGCAACGTGGATGGAACTGGAGGTCATTATATTAAACGAAATAAGCCAAGCAGAGAAAGATAAATATCGCATGTTCTCACTCATATGTAGGAGCTAAAAAAGTGGACCTCATGAAGATAGAGAGTAGATTTATGGTTGCTAGAGACTGGGAAGGGTAGAGGAGAGGAAGGAATGAGGAGAAACTGATTAATGGGTACAAACATATGATTTGAGAAATGAAATAAGACTTAGGGTTAGATAGATCAGTAGGGTGACTAGTTTACCATAATCTATTGTATATTTCAAACTAGCTAGAAAAGAAGAATCTGAACAGTTCTAGCATAAAGAAAAGACAGATATTTAAGGAGATGGATATCCCAAGACATTGATATAATTTTTACAAATTATATGAATGCATTAAGTTATCACATGTGGGCCAGGTGCGGTGGCTCATGCCTGTAATCCTAGCACTCTGGGAGGCCAAGGCGGGCCGACTGCTCGAGGTCAGGAGTTCGAAACCAGCCTCAGCAAGAGCGAGACCCCGTCTCTACCATAAAAATAGAAAGAAATTAATTGGCCAACTAATATATATAATATAAAAATCAGCCGGGCATGGTGGCGCATGCCTGTAGTCCCAGCTACTCGGGAGGCTGAGGCAGGAGGATCGCTTGAGCCCAGGAGTTTGAGGTTGCTGTGAGCTAGGCTGACGCCACGGCACTCACTCTAGCCTAGGCAAGAAAGTGAGACTCTGTCTCAAAATAAATAAATAAATAACAACAATAAAAAGACTATCTGTGAGATCTCTAGAACAAATTAAAGCAGTGACCATAGGAAATTTTAGTCTTATACATATTAAGAAAATCAAAAGAATAAAAATAAATGAATTACATTTAAATTCCCAACTCAAAAAGCTAGGAAAAAACTATAATATAAACCAAAAGAACTTTGTGGTGCTGGATCAGAATTATAATTATCAGTATGAACTTAAAATATGAAGTCATAATTTCTTAACAATTTCCTCACCCTTACCATTAAAAGTGTAGGGCAGAGGAAGGGCAGAGGAATTTGTAGGACAGAGGAAGGGCAGAAGAATTTTTCCAATTGTCAGGAATTTACTTGGGTGGGGCAATGAGCTAACCGCAAACTTTTGCTTCTGGTCATTGCTTGCTTGCTACACCACTATATGGGGAATTATGGGATGAGGTCATTAAAGCACGGGCGACTGGCCCATCAGGCAATAGAGGGCAACCAACCCGCCAATTATTTCAAAAGGCAATAGTAGGCAACCAATCATTTTAAAGGTCAACGCATGATCCATGCGTAGTCAGCTTGTGCGCAGCTTGTGCACCATGGGGATAAAAGGCATGCTGTTGTTCCAGTCGGGGTCCCTGCCTGCGAGAGTAGCCACTGCGTTGGTGCTCTGGGGCTTGGACCCTGGCTAGCCAGAAAATAAATCTCCTCTTGTGTGATTGCATCCTCGATGTCTCTGCTTTTCTGTCCGGTAGGGCTGTAGAAGGTCAGTCCCTAACAAAAGGGCCTAGAAGTATGACATGCCAGTGGAAACAAGCACACTTTGTACTCAGATAATGGTTTCTAAATTCCATTTCCCACTAAAATGAACCAGGATTCCTTGGAGAAATGACCAATTCCAGGTCTAAAGCCAGGCAAGAAGGAGATGAGCCTTTTTATGTCAGAAAGTAAATGTTCAAACACTAATAAAGGTATGTTAACAGGACACAGGAACCAGCTTGAAGGGGCTCCCAGTAGCCAAATTTGAAACAATTACATTATCAAAAAAGAATAAAAGATGGTGGTAATAAGACATTGCATTTAAAAATTCATGATCTAAGGCCGAGCGCTGTGGCTCACGCCTGTAATCCTAGCTCTTGGGAGGCCGAGGCGGGCGGATTGCTCAAGGTCAGGAGTTCAAAACCAGCCTGAGCAAGAGCGAGACCCCGTCTCTACTAAAAATAGAAAGAAATTAATTGGCCAACTGATATATATATAAAAAAAAAAATTAGCCGGGCATGGTGGCGCATGCCTGTAGTCCCAGCTACCCGGGAGGCTGAGGCAGAAGGATCACTGGAGCCCAGGAGTTTGAGGTTGCTGTGAGCTAGGCTGACGCCACGGCACTCACTCTAGCCTGGGCAACAAAGTGAGACTCTGTCTCAAAAAAAAAAAAAAAAAAAAAAAATTCATGATCTAACATAAACAGAAGCAAAAACAAAGACCATATGATCCTCTCAATAGATGCAGGAAAAGCATTTGACAAAATTCAACACCCTTTTATGATAAGAATGCTTAACAAAAGAGGCATAGATGGGGCTTACCTAAAAATGATATAAGCCATATATGACAAACCCACACCCAACTTCATACTGAATGGGGAAAAATTGAAAGCATTCTCACTTAGAACTGGAACAAGGCAAGGTTGCCCACTATCTCCACTTCTATTCAACATATTGCCGGAAGTCCTTGCTATAGCAATCAGACAAGAGAGCAGAATTAAAGGCATCCAAATGGGAGAAGAGATCAAACTCTCTCTCTTTGCTAATGATATATTATATCTAGAAAACCCCAAGGATTCAACCATAAGACTTCTTGAATTGATAAATGAATTCAGTAAAGTCTCAGGATACAAAAACAACACACAGAAATCAGAGGCATTCATATAGGCCAACAACAGTAAAAGTCAGAAACAAAGACTCAATTCCCTTCAAAATAGCAACAAAGAAAATAAAGTACTTAGGAATATATTTAACTAAAGAAGTAAAAGACCTCTACAGAGAGAACTATGAAACACTGAAGAAGGAAACAGCAGAGGATATAAACAGGTGGAAAACCAGACCATGCTCGTGGGCCGGCAGAATCAACATTGTTACAATGTCTATACTACTCAAAGTGACCTACAAAGTCAATGCAATCCCTATTAAAATACCATCATCATTTTTCACAGATATAGAAAAAATAATTTTATGCTTCGTATAGAACCAAAGAAGACCCCGTATAGCAAAATCAATCCTAGGCAACAAAAACAAAAGAGGAGGTATCAATTTATCAGACTTCAAACTATACTACAAGGCTATAGTAATGAAAATAGCTTGGTACTGGCACAAGAACAGGGACATTGACCAGTGGAACATAACAGAGAACCCAGATATAAAATCATCCTCATATAGGCGACTAATCTTCGAAAAAGAAGACAAAAACATACACTGGGGAAAAGAATCCTTATTCAAAAAATGGTGCTGGGAAAACTGGATAGCCACATGTAAAAGAGTGAAACAGGATCCACACCTCTCATTTC